CATTGCCATTTTGCAGCTGCTCTACATCTGATGCTGGAATTTTCATCCTCTCCTGGTGCCTCCGAAAAAGGGCTGCATCATGCCAATCAGTTTTTCCTTTTACGAGCGACTCGAGACGCTTGTAGAGGCGGTACTGGGTCAGTTCGAAGAGGGTCATCAACAGCTTGTCGAGCCTCTGATTGTGAGTTCCATGCAGGTAGTGTGACTTCAGGTCCTTATACGTTGCCTCGAAGTGGTTTGTAGTATTAAAAGGAATGCCCTTTCTGAAGCAGAGCGCCCACTGTTCTGCTCTGCCACCATGGTAGTGCCCAAAGTACTGAACAAACTCCTGTACTTGTTGAATTAGTTTTGGGTCAGCCTCTCCACTTACAGTAGTTTCTCACAGAGGAAGCCCGTCAAAGCTCGTTGGAATTGACCCTCATCTTTGCAATTTCTCAGCGCCCACAACTCGTCGCAAAGAGGGTCACGGGTTTGCTTATACCTTGGACCGACTGCAACTTCAGAGCCCAGTTGTGGCTTACATGCCAAGAGCAGAGCATCCAATGTTGGGCACAGCCCATCACTTCCTCCCATGCATTACCTTTATGGCCTTAAGGAGCGTTTCATAGTCTTGGTGCCTAGTTACATTGAGATCAAATATGTGCATGGCATGCCTGACTGATCTTCTGCAACTGTCATGAGTCTTCATTTGCAGATTGTGGCCATGTGTATTATGAGTAGAGTCAATGCACAGGAACTTCGGGCCAAGCCAAGCTTTGTGAGGAGTTCTTTCTAAGGGACAGTCATCAGGGCAAGCTCAAAGCTCTCTTTGTTTTCCTTCTTCCATGTCAGTACAGGACTGGGGAATCTGACTTTGTTCAGTTCCTCCACTGATTCTTGTGCCGTAGCTCTTTCGTCAGAATTTCATGCTCGACGGAGATGTTGCCAATGTCTTTCATTGAGAGCAAATGTAGCCTGCCCACCTCACTGCCAGCGGAAGAATGTGCGTCTACCAGAACGTTACGGGCGGGGATGCCTTGCTTTAGTTTATCAGCTAAAGCCTCCTTCTCAGTCGTAAAGAGGCGCTGGTGCTTCAGTCCCTTCAGGTGGCCGTAGTGTTCTGCCTGCTACTCTACTGTCACCTTGCCATCTTTCTCTGTTGCTTGAATTGTGGCTAAGCATTGCACATTAGTCTTACAAGTGCCCTGGGCTCTCAGTTGTCATTTACCCCTTGCTCTGAAATGATCCAGAGCGGTGGCAGTAGCAATACATCTTCAGGACACCCTCATCTCGTCCCTTGGGCCCGTCGTGAAGAACGAAGTGAACGTGCTCTCTGCCTTCCTCAGCCTCCCTCCAGTCACTGAATTCTGGCAGGCAGAGAAGAAAGAAAGCTTAAAATGAAATGGCCTGAATTAAGAATGGTATGTCAGTCACATCATATATTCCCCTGCTTTAAAACATCTTCATGTTTGTTTCACTAAATGTACATCCCGATCAGACTTTTAGCTGTAGCATGCGGTCCATGGTTTTTTCGTGCTCTTAATGCCCACATAGTAGGTGCACTCCAAAACCCTACGGTCTGCAAGAACAGGTTCACTGCACTCCACATGTGTGGTGTTTGCAAGTGCACCTGCTATGCAAGTGACGGGAAAACAAAACAAAAAATGTTTTTCACATTCATAAGTTCAATGCAAGTGCGCACTACAACGGAGAGGGAGCACAAGTTTCATTGGCTCCGTGTCGACCGCGCATCTTTCACAGAACATATTAAATCTTCGGTTAACCAAACACTACGAATTTTATTCGCGAATCGAATTATCCTAGAGCTTACTATTCAATTTGTATTCAAATATTAAAGTATTCATACACCCCTAGAAAAGAGTCAAGTCCCATCATAGTGGCAGTCACAAGAGCAGCTGAAAAACCCCAGTGTGTTGGTACCATGTAAACTGTAGACGCGAGATATATGCTTACCGTAAAATTCTGAGATGCCCCGGCCCCGAAAGGTAAGCCACCCCAGTTTTTGGCTTCATTTGCTTTTTTTCTTTTAGTTAGCTATGGCGGGATATAATGTGTCTAGTTATAGTGTCGAGTTAGCTATGGCGGGACATAATGAACCGTTGCCGACTGGCAAATAGAGCCATTATTGCTTCACACTGCAAGTGAGCACACTCCTTATTTTGAGCCAATTTTTTATTGATTTTAGGTGGGCTATCTCTCGGGATATTAGGGTAACACTATAACCCCTCTGCTCCACTCCCCAGGTAGCCATACTCCCATCATACATACCTGTGGCAACAGCCAAAGCCGCTACAATCAGGTGTGCCAGGTTTGTGCTGAAGCTTATGTCCTATCCACAAGCTTTAGCGTCGATGCACGAGAACATGCACTAGCTGAAAGAATAAAAATTTACATTAGATTTTGTATTAGAAAGGGCTCACACGTTCATTCAACTCTTTCTTGACCTACCATACCGTAACGTAACGAGGAAGTAAGTTACCGCACAAACAATTCAGTGCTAAATCAATTGCATGTGGTAAAATCCTCCTCCAGGACGTTATAAGGTAGGTATATATGCTGGAAGTATGGCTATTCCCATGCACAGGTGTGCTTTAGGAGGTGATCCTGTTGATGTCCTGATGTGAAAGTCGTGTTTGTAAAGTAACATGGCTTAAAGAAAGCTGAGGTGGTTCCTAAAAATATAGTTGGAGGTGAATTCTTGCCTGGTTTTACCCCATGAATTCAAATATGACAATTATTTGGTGAAAAATTATTGGCAAATGCAAGATATCCATGTTTCCCATTCACCAATTACGACGTCAAATATAGGTTTTCGGCTACACTGCGTCAGAGCCGTATATGGGGAGAGTTTGGTCAGTCTATGATCTCGCCGCCGTAACGCCCTCCTCCCAAGTGAGCCAATCAGCACACGGCGCAGAGCGAGAGGCATGAGCGCATGCATGTGAACACCCGGCTGCTCCCAGCTGAGCGGGGAGGGCCGCCATTTTCGTTCATTCTCCCAGCGGAATGCATGGGATCGGCATCTATATCACGATTATTTCCTTTTATATCGCTGGCTCTGGCAAGAAAATGATATACTGTTATTCCTCAGTGGGTTAAAAAGCTAATAAATGAAGTTTTCTCACCGTAAGGCCACAAACGTTTATTCAGGCGAAGAAGAAGTTGGCCCGTAGCAGACGACGCATAGCCTCAGCAGTGCTCTTCTCTGAGCAGTCTCCGACAGCGTTGCGAAAAAATGGCGGTCTCCTCTCTGCTCCCTTCTTTCTCTCTCGCTCCTTCGGCGCTCTCTTCCTTTCATTTAATTTTCTCCTTTTCGGCGCCTTCGTTGCCACACCCACTGGCCAAACTCTCTCGATATACGGCTCTGCACAGCGCATGCCACTCCATAAGGGGTCCCTTTCATTTCATTGAAACTCGCTCCGTAAAAGAATGTTTCGTGGACAACTTTTCATGGACACGCGTTTCGTAGACACAATCGTTTCATTGATGCTTGTTATGCGAATTGCACGCTGCAGGGACATTTCATCTTGCGTGTATCACTGGGGTATGCATTAACCCACCCACCCAACTGCCTGCCTGCGTTCACGCCGCTTCGCAGCGGCTCATTACAAAAATGTTAACCCACCTTACCGACACTGCACGAGACTGTCGCGGCGACAGTCTCATGCAGCTTATTACAGAAAAAAAGCTAGGTAATCTGAGCTGTCGATGAAACATTGTGTGTCGCTGAAATGTCATGCAATGAACTGATTGCCACCTCTCCGGGAACACGCTGAGCGTGCATAGCTTTGATTAGTGCAGTTGGTGTGCAAGCTTTTTGAGGACCGTGCACCTGCAGAACAAAAGAGCTCTGAATACGACGTCACAAACTACCACTTTGAAAGCACCTTTCAGAAGGGAACGAAAGAATAAACTCGTACCGCACAGCAAGTTTTAGGCATCTCGAAAACAATTTGCACAAAAGACGAGAGAGGGACAGGACAAGTGCTGCTATCGAAAAGAGTGCAACATTTTGAGATTCAAAGAAAGGCAATGTAGCATTTTGATGCTCCAGAAAGATGAACGAACCCCCTAGAAGAAAAAAAAGGAAAGAAAGAAAATTAACAGACCGACTTTCTTCTCGTACTTCTCTAAACACGCATTTAACAGTCAGTCGATACTAGATGGTAATGCTCGTTGCGTTTCTGTTCTTATCCTCTTATTTTGCAATGTTTTCGAGATGATCAAACTAGCCCAACAATACTTTTGATTAATTTCCTGTACGAAAACATATGCTGGGATTTCATGTGCCAGCTCGTGCTAATAGAGGAACAAGTGCATTTTATCCCTCTGTTGGTGCGGATGCTAATTTGTGGTAATGAATTGTCGTCTCTTTTCAGATTTTGTAGTCTTTAAACAAGAGCTTGAATTATATCTTTTCTGCTATAGGCCCACACCGTGTTTTGTAACAGTGGTAGACATTGTGATCGATTTTTCTTTTGTACAAAAGTAAGCGAGTGCACTTACCTTTCAACAAATTGAACTTTAACTTCTCACGCCTCGCAACGAACCCGTGTTTCGCTTCAAAGTGGCGCAGCAAGTCCCCAATGGAACGCAAAAGCCGTTGGACACAGATAGCATGCAAGGCGGCAGCGGACAGTGTGATCCAGCTCGTGTCAGCGTCCCGTCAATGCCGTCAACCTCCTTTAGGTGCCTCTTTAAGTTGTAGATCTTCTTGAAGCACCTGTCACAAATCATGCACTTGTACTTATCTGGGTCGGCGTTATGCCTCTAACATTCACAAAAGCAACGGAGCAACCACATCCGAAGTTCAAACTGAGAACCGTTGAAAACAGCGAGGCCAGGGCGGCGCCAGTGTGCGAGTCATACGTGACGCTATCATCATCATCACCACCATCCGAACGGATTCCCTACGAGCGGTTTTCCCTACGCTGGCGCTGTCCCCAGATCTAGGCACGGGCAGATCTCTGAATAGGCGCTCGCCACAGGCATGACACCAGCCGTGCAGCAGCTGACGACACGCCGGTAGAGGTGTCTCGGTGTATTGCAGTTGTTTCGCAGGTCGTGTGTCATGAGGGAAGCCGCTCGGCTGCTGCTGTGTTGGCCCTCGAGTCGCTAGACCCCTCGGAGTTTTGGCGGCGCCGCACTCGATGCCTTCGAGCGCGTACCATGGGCGGCCGTGAATCGGTGGGTTGGCGCGCCCGGCCGCGATTGCTGGGCTGCTGATCGCGCCAGCATGCCTTCTCTGGGCCTCAACACACTCTTCAACATGGGTTGTTACTGCACCAAGGAAGCCGTTTGCATCAACGGCAAGCGGTACATCGTCAAAAATAGGCTCGGCGAAGGGTACGTAAGGCGGTGCTTTTTTCACGCAGGCTCGCGCTTTATGCCGACTTGCATTGCGTCATGAAATCAATCGGTTGAGCTTAAAAACGCAACCCTACGCGTGCTCAAAGTTCGAAGTGTCAGTGATAAGTCTAGAGGAGGCGAGTTACAGGGCGTTTAAGACTAGCTATGCAGATTCAATGAAATGGTCAACTGGTTGGCTCGTGGAAGCGATGGGCACCGAGAGTCAACACGAAGCATCACGCAAACTTGAACAACGAATACAATCTTAGAACTCTCATAAATAATGTTAGCGAAGCAATGGTGCAGTTAAGTTTTCTCTGGCTTAAAGTTGTCTTGTCTTACAAGCTATATCAACAAACCACAGGGGAAAAACCAAAGGGAGGAACAAACATCAGGGTGTGAAAACTGGGACCGTCAATTTTTCCAGGTAATTTTGCACGCGACGTCTCTATCAGTCGATTTGTCCTCCCTTGTTCTATCACTTTCTTTTTTTTTAAATTTCTTCGTACAAGATTATGGAAGAAAGCGGCATCAATACCGACGTAGCCTACAACCGTGATATTCATGGCCAGTTTCCCCACTGTCATTTAGTCAAAGGTTTGCAGCTGCAGCAACAGGTGTTTCAACCACTGCACGTAATATATATGGCTTGCACGTGACATCATCTGATGCTGGCATTTGTTGTCGTTGACAAAAACAAATTCAGTGGTGTAAAATTAATACCCTGTTGCAGCATAAGAAGCTCCTTCCCCGCACCTTTTCCACTTTAGCTGGAGGAGGAAGCCACCAATCAGAGCAAGCAGAGAGCTTTGAGGGAGGGACTTGTCCCACTTTTCTTAGCCTAGGTACCATACAAAAGGTATGTGCTCATGGTGATGTCAGTGCATGTCATGTGTTGCAGTATGATAAGGATGTGCTCCTACAGTTATAATAACCTGCCACTTATCACAGCAACAAAAAGCGAGAAAAAAACTGAGGGGAAACAGTAATTTCTTTGTAACGTTTACGACTCCTAAAAACAGCAAGGCTTTCTGGTCCCAAGCTGTTTGTTGTTGAGCACATACTAACTTTCTGCTGCATGCATTCTCAACGGGTGAGCAACGTTGGCTCGTTCTCGGCATGCTTGCAGTGATAACAGACGCAAATATTTTACGGCGAACATAATATGTCTCTTTTACGGCTAGGACAGCTTTGGAAGTCGTATAGCTTGGAATGTGTCTGGGTTAGAAAGATTACATTGGTCTGTTTTTTCGGTCGAGTCACGACCTAGCTGTTTATCACAACAATTTCGTGTGCAGTACGAACTGTTGAAGTGACAAATCATGCGCTTGATTTGATTGGGATAGCGTTGAGCAAAGCTGTCCCCAAACTACATGTACTGACAGGGAAAACATTTGGAAAGCACCGCACTGGCAGGAAATTCGACCCCAAAAGCAGATGCGGTAAGGTCTGTGAAAACCTGGATGCATTTCCTTTTGCTAAAATACCCCTTGCTTTTGGCACCCAAATTAGTGCCCCGACTGCTATCCACTAACCACTTTTTCCTCAAGGGTGCAGCCATCTTGAATATTGTCACCTCAGGTATGCGGCAAAACGACGCTTTGATCTCTCCACGCCGCTGGAAGGTGTTTACAAAAAATGTGTGATTGTCACACATTGATGTTTTGCCTCACCTATATTTTCTCGCCTATTCCAAGTTGAAGTGTTTTAATATTTTCTCGTCCTGCATACCAGATACGTAACCGACGTGACTGAGAACGACAGGAAACAGAACATGTATACAATAGGCTCGCGATAATTCAAATTCGGATATTTCGTACTTCTGGTTAATTCAATCGAATTTCAAATTTTTGGTTGCCCCAACTATGTTTTAATGTATTTATAAACTGCTTAATTCGAACAGCGTTTTCGTGCAATTCATACTTTTTGTTCTCGTGGCCCCGTTGATTGTGCTTCTTTTTGAGCACCGGTGCACTGCAGAGGCAACACCCGTGGAGCTTGCTTTCGTGGGTATTGCTTCTCCGCAGTGTACCGGTGCTCGGTGAGAAGCGCACTCAACACGGTCCCAAGCGGGGCCAGCAGGGAACACATGACCTATAAAAACCGGCACCACGCGAAAATTTTCCTAAACTTGCGTAGACGCTGTACTGACATGGCAGCATGGCATATAGGTCCATGTCGCAGCGTCCACACAAGTTGCTATGAAAACTGCCGCGCGGTGCCCATTTTCATTGCTCGGGTGTCCCCAGTTCTTGGCCTGATGAACAAACTTAATTTTGTTTTGAGTCATCATGTGCTGTCTGAACAGTCCACGATAAACAACATTTTTTAGAGATAAATACACATATTTCATAGACTTCACAAATGTTTCATGTGTGTCCTACCTGCTTATGATCAGTAGGCATACGTAGAGGAAATCATCAAATATCTTCTTTGTATGTGTAGCCATTCATATGGCTAATTATAATTTTATCTTGCATCATATTTAGATGAATTTCTGATAATTCAAACTTTCTATAATTCAAACAAAATGTGTTGCTCCCTGGAGTTTGAGTTAATGAGAGTCTACTGTAGTCACCGATAAGGCGAGAATGGCAGACAAAAGTTCCAGTTGTCCCGCCTTCGGCTCTAGCTTCCAACGTTCGACAACGCTTGGGGCGTCCATGAGCGATGCCCTGTCGTTCTTGCCCCATCGGTAACTATAGGAGCAAGTAGGCTTTTGAACGTCAAGGTACGAGACAGAAAAAAACTGGCGATTGCTAGCTCTCGCTAACTGTGTCGTGTAGCATACGAGACTTCCGCTTTGGAGCAAGACCGAATAAATTTTGAAAGACGGCCTGCGTCTTGCAAAACAGGGGCTTCAGCATCGTGGACCTGGTGATAGACCCGTCGGGCCACGGCACATTTGCGCTCAAACGCATTCCGTGTCACACCCGTGAGGCCGAGCACGAAGCCCTGCGCGAGGCGGAGCTGTACTCCGCCTTCGAGCACCCCAACCTGGTGCGCTGCGTGGACACCGCCTTGGTGCCCTGCCGAGACCTGTCCAAGCCGTTTGCCAGCGAGCTCCTCATCCTTCTACCCTACTTCAGGGTGCGTCACACTACGGGGACTGCTACGTGTCTCCGACTGGCGTGCTCGGCGTCCTACGTGTAGAGCAAGTCATCTATCTGCTTCTTGCGCAGTAGTTGCAGTGACGTCAGAACGACAGCTCCAACTGGCTTTGATTGGGAGCATAGTGGGTAGACCTTGATGCTAGATGCCTCAAGGTTTACCGCAAGGATCCCGGCATGTGACGACGCGACACTTTTACGACGCCGTCAGGCAGAAATCAAGGAACCACTCTTTAGGGTGCACTAAACGCACCAGTCAGAGGTGCATTCACCATAGTAGTAGTACCAACAAAATGGAGGAGCCCATGAGGTGTTCGCATCTGGACGTACATTGTGCATAGTATGGGCCAGTAAGCACCGTGGCGACGCCAGAAAAATAAAAGGCTCGAGGTACACCTAAGCATTTCTTATGCGTTGTGAATGCGAAAGCATGCAAGCTGCTTGTCCGCTCCCTTTGTCGTCTGCTGCATACTAGCAGCTCACGCTTCAGGATCTCGGAGGCCATGGCACAGCGGCCAATGGGAGCCCCGTCGACGCACGCCAGCTAATATGGAATCGAAGGCATATCGCTCCTATTGGGATCGTGGAAACCAGGAACCGTTTTCACTTTTCAAACTGATGACGTCAGCTCGCTCCATGAGACAGTTAATGCTTTCAAATTAAAAAGCGATAAAGAAGTATAAACGCTTCCAGCAGCAATTTGATTGATTCAAAGATTGAGAATTCGGGAGTTAGAAGTAATATATATGGAGAGTGTGGAGAGAGTTCCCCAGGTGTCCGCTCGGATGTAGAGAGTTGTAATCCGAGAGTATGGGAAATCGAAGGCCGGCTCAATCTTCTCGCGAAGAGTTAATTTCTCCTGCAGTATTGGTTTTTGTTGCCCTCGTGCTTAAAACCCTTAAAGGGATGCTGCACCAATAAGCAAAACATCACTCATACAGCAATATCTCAATGGATGGCCGTATGTTTTGAAAAGAAGTGCACAATTGAACATGGCCAACGAGGCATGTTACATCATGGTTCTCATTCTCTCTCCTCTTCGCTCCGTCCCCTTGAGCAAGTGAACTGAAGCGGAGAGGAGAGAAGCAAGGCAAATCCCCTCATCCTCAACTGTTCTAAGAGATTTGCGATGTCACATTCTTCGCTTGATTGCACCCTTCTTTTTCAAAAATATGGCCATTTTGAGATATTGATGTGAGTGACGTTTTGGAGTTTGTAGCATCTCGTTCAACACTTATGCAACCTTATTTTGCGAAATACAAATTTCGATTCAGCATTCCGTTATCATCATATCACTAGTGAAGCTCAAACTCTGTTTCGCCTTACGGTGCACCGTAGTAGACACTATAAGCCATTCCAGTTAATAGGATGCTCTGAAGGTATTGTGCAACTAGTTGCATACACATCCCCTTCACATTGCTGCACCCCATTCGAAGGCAATTAAACACTTACTGAGTATTGAATTGGCTTCGATGGCTTGTAGTGTCCTCTTTGGTCCATTGTAATGGAATGGAATATAGACGTGAAGTGGTAGTATATAAAAATTAATATATTTGTGGTGTATGTATGAGTCATGTGTATTTTCACAAACCTTTGTGTCCTTGTGTCTTATTTAACAGTACGACTTGTACACATTCTTTTCCACAAGTATGAACCCTAATTGCAAAAGATTGCCTCGTGGGTTATATTTTTTGTTTAATTTGTTTAAAAGAACATCAGAACCGGTTCCCACTTGCACATATATCACAATCGTTATGCAATATATATATATGTGGCTTATCAATGCAGTTCTGCCGCACCTGTCGTACAAATTTATAAGTGCGACTTAAACGAAAGAATGACTTACATGCAGAATCTTTTGCAGAAAGGCCCATTTATAAGGGGTGCAACTTCTTGACTCAAAAGTATAGTAGGGCTAGATATGAATTATTTTAAAGATTCCATATATTTTCGTGCCAGTGAGACATCAACACATGCTTTTCTTTAATTGAAGAAAAGTTGCAAGTCGCAACCGGCATTTGTGAAGAAACTCATCTCTCCGGTGCAGAGGGGTACCCTGCAGGACGAGCTGATGATGCGTGCCCGTTCTCGGGACCACATGGGAGAGACCCGCCTCCTCGACCTCTTCCTCGGCATGTGTCGAGGGGTGCAGGCCATCCACAGCGCCAGCCCCGTTGCTCTGGCACACAGGTGAACCTCTCTGAGTGCACGCTTGCAGTACAAGTAGCACAATCATTTGGGGCACGAACCTAAGAAGTAACATGTGGTGCTCGTCAACGTCATGTTTGAGCGATATGCACAAAAACACCAATGTCGTGTTCGGACCCTTTTGATGTTGTGATACAGTGCAGTCCACTTATAACGATATTGAGAAAACCGCAAAATCCAATCGTTATAGCCGATTATCGTTATATCTGGATCAAATCAAATCTAAAAAAATAGCGATCAAATCTAAAAAATTTGATCGCTATAAGCGATATATCGTTATATCTGGTATCGTTATAAGTGGATTACACTGTATGTCACACTTTTGAGCTAGAGGGATTACCATATTAGCGTGCATCCGACCAGTTGTGCCCCTTGGGTGCACAGCTATGTGAGAAACTTGCGTCGGTTTTGCACAATGGAATTTCCACACCAAACTTGTACTTGAACGCAAGATGTTTTGCCCAGCCCTGTGAAGTTTGTCATGAAGTATTTGACTTTATAATGCGAAAGCATTAACTGTCCCATGAAGTGAGCAGAAGTCATCAGCTTTGAAGCCGCGCCAAACGGCACCTACTCCTTTCTCCAAGTGAAGCCAAGATCTGATGACTCCCAGCTTTGAAGCCATGCAAAAAGCGTAGCCAAACGACACCTAGTTTCCCTGCTCCCAATGGACCGCAGTGAAGCCGAAATCTGGTGGATTTCGGCTTCAGTCCCATTGGCTGGCGCACATCACAGTTTCAAGGAACAAGGTTCCCCATTGGCCGTTGCCCGTCAGTTTCAATGACTGCCACCCCAAGGTGCTGCGGGTCCGCGCCGCCAGCGCGCCGGTAAGACCAAGCGTTTGTCTGCCGATCGAGGCAGCGGCTCCACGCACCACGTCAGTGCGGCAAGGAGAGCACGTGCTTGGCCGTCAACGCAAGTACGCCGCAGACGAAATAAGGAAGCGGAAGAATAACATGCATGCTTTCGCATTCGGAACTCATAAGAAGTGCTTAAGTGTACCTTGAGCCTTTTAAAAACATCAGGAGAAATGACAGTCCTTCTGTACAAAAAGTAGCGACAACTACAAACCCCTCTTTTGGACGCATGCAATTTTCGTATACCATAGAATATCGAGCATGCGCCGATGTCGCAATAAACACTCACGCCCTTTTTGGAACACTTGAAATATAAGGAAAGAATATAGCAAGCGTCCAACCGAACCAACCTCCAAGCCCACCAAGCTAACTGGGACGTTCCTTCGCATCACCTACTTCTGAGCAGCAGGTGCCAAACAGTGAAGCTTTAAGCGCGTGCTGGAGTTAAGCAGGTTTGACGAGAGCGGTGCAGCTGCTTCAGAAATCAGGAATCCTCCCTGGCTCCTATACTGCTCTCATACCATTTGTTTACTATTTATTTATTTCAAATACTGTCAGTGTCACGAGATAAGTGGGCTACAGCTATACGAAACACAAACAAAAACAATAAATACTAAGAATTCAATCAATAAAATACCAAAATACTGACATTGTTAATGCAGTTTTAAAGGCGACACCACCAGATAAAGTTACAAGCGTTGGAAGGTGACTCCCATGAAACTGTGGTTCGGGGCATGAACGAACTGAAAATTCATAGTTTTATACGATGGTGTCCCTATTTTGCGTTGATGATCGAGACTCAACGATATATAAAAAGAGGATATTAGCAGCCTTTCACTCAAGGGGGGATTATAATAGATTTTTGAAACACACAAAAACAAGAACATTTAACATGAAGCAAGGTTACACAAGTTCAAACTAGGCGTCATAGATTTTATGCCAGTGCCATTCTGTCAGCTTAGACAAGGGCCAAAGTAAGGCAGCGTGGCCTTTCCGTTTTTCCGGTCTCCGACCCAACAAGTGCCCATCCCCGTAATTGTGATTATCTCCCACTTTTGGGTGGGCACTTGCTCAGTATTCTTCGACAGTCGAATAGTGTTCCGGATAGAAGTTGTGGAAAGACTTGAGCGGAAATGCCACCACTGTCCAGGGACCTCAAGCCTGCCAACGTGTTGATTGGAGATGACGACACCCCGGTCTGGATGGACTTCGGGTCAATGGGTCGGGCCCGGCTGGACATTGGCCGCACCAGCGAAGCCATGGCGCTCCAGGTCCGGCGTTCCGTGCTTCCGCCGTTAGATCTGTTCATTTCACGCATTGTCCTTTCCAGGACCTGGCCACGGAGAAGTGCAGCATGCCATACCGAGCCCCCGAGCTGTTCAACGTGGAGAGCCGCACGTCCATAGACGAACGCGTCGACATTTGGGTGAGGATATCTTTGCTGTCGAAAGGCCTTGTCTCAAAGGCTGTTCTACCGCCAGAACACAATGTTTGGTCTACACTTTGAAGATTTAAAAAGAATTGTGCGTATAATTACATTTAAAAAAAAAAAGTATTTAAGGAAACTGATACAGGCAGCAATGTACTCTTTTTCCCCTTGTCAGCACTCTATTTCTCTTTCACATATCAGCAATGGGCCTTCTTGCCGACACAAAAGAGGAACTGTGTGAAGCGTACGACTCTATGTCGCACCTTGTGTGGAGGCCGATCAGTAAAAAACGGGAAGTTAAGGATAACTCAAACGAAACATGAATTGGGAAGTTGGAAAGCTTGTACCATAGGCTACGAATGCAGATTCAAGTTATATTCGGTTACCCAGTATTTTGTAACTATGCTGTCACAAATGACAATTGGTGAGACAAAGAATGACTGATAAAAACTAAACGTGTGGCATCAGCAGCCCACAGACAAAAGTTAGTTCCGTTGCCACCAGGGCCGGTCTACTCTTGAATGTGGGTACCTCTCCCGGCACTTTAAATACCCACGAGAGGGATTTTGAAGTGGGCTTTGTGGGGGACAAAAAACTAAAGGTACCCAGCACTACGAGCAAATGGCTGCCGTAAGTCCGTCCTCCTTTCGATTATTCAAGTCCGACTTTTTGTGGAGAACGAGGGTGAGCAAGCTTAAAATGCAAGTGAAAAGAATCGCATTCGTGTACTTTTGAGAGCGACATGTAAATTTATATCTGGCAAAGGTTGTGTTAAGCGAGAACTGAAGAAAACAACAGGCAAGGCTTACGTCTGCCGAGCGAAATCGGCTGGAACGCTAGGTACTTTCTCACCAGAGAGCTGGTCACGTGACCTCAAAATCCCTTTACGGCTATTTTGACCACCAGGAGAGACACCCACATTCACCAGGGTCGCTAAACTCATCAAACACAAAGATTCTTTGTGTTCGAAAGAGCAACACAAGAGAGCGCGCGGAGATGGCCGTGGTTCATACGTGCGACTTCACAACGAAGATTATCGGCTGTGACTAATATGTTTGATGGTCTCTAAAAAGCAGGGCAGAAACTTGGGATAATTGCATTCTAAAATCAACACCGTCGAAGTTGACAGTCTGATATTGTTCTTATTTCCGCGGATAAAGCACAATTTACTGAAAAACGTCCCTGCCATTCCTTTTCCTTCTCTCGGCCTTTTGGATATGATCAAATGTTTGCTTTTGGGCGGATTTTGCCTCCAGGCAGTTGTCCCCCCATTAGCAGAATGAAATCATGTTACTTCTTTTTTTCTAAGTAGTGACTATTGGCTACGTAGGCTACCAAAAGCATTGCTGTAGTCGGCTTGCCAAGATTGGCCAAACTGGGATTAATTCTGCTTTCATCAACGGAAATACAAGTAATGTCAGGCTGTCAATATTGTTAATAATGTTTTAAGAACGTGATGACACTAAGCTTCCAACAAACACAAACTTGTCACCATCCGTTTGAACACACACTGTCGAACTTGTCGTCCACAACCAATGATCATGACGTCAAGGGTATGAACTAGAAAAATATGTCGCTGAACGTGCCTGCACACTACGAGCCTAGCACAAGCCTCTCACTTAAAAGTCTGTCATGACCCCTCGCTATCCTTGCTTGAAGCGGTACTCCGGCAATATGTTTTAGCTACCCATACCGACTATATCTTCTGAATATCCGGCCTTTACTTTTTTTGGAATGTTACCTATCTAGTTTCTCTATATTGAAGATAGTTATTGTGAAATCATCAAATGGAGGCGGTGCCAAAACCAACTTCCAAATATACTGACGTCTTCAGTGCCGCGATGTCAGTGGAAGGCAGGCTTGCAGGTAGAGCGGGCAGTGTAGAAAACGCAGCATGCCGATCATTTGGGACCCGTGCTGGTGCACGGGTCCCAAGGCGAGCTTCCAAAGCATTCATTCGACACCATGAAACTGCTTGTAATCGGTTGGGAATAAATTCTACAGCCAGGAGTGAACCCCTGCCCGACCCTGGCGTCACTTTTTCATTGTTGCCAGTAGACTGCTTAAAGAAAAGACGGTGATGAACAAAATGAAAAACCAAGCTTCGCAAAAACAATTTATTTGGGCCCAATATTTGGGTTAGTAGTTCAGTGATCTTTGTTGGTGCGTTCAGACAATTTTGAGGCAAACCGGAGGCCGCGAAAAAAATGGCCAAGTAGCCCTCCGACGCTTGTGCCAGATTGCACGAAGCGTCTACATCGTGTCAGTCATGTCCTGCCGGATGCAGTCCCTGGGGTGCTGCCTGTACGCCATGTGCTTCTTCCGGTCTCCCTTCGAGGCGGCCCACGAGCGAGGCGACAGCGTGGCTCTGGCCGTCCTCAGCGGGCACGTCGACATTCCCGAAGACAGTCCGTGAGTGCCCCGCGGCCACTCTTGACTAGACACTTTCCTTCCTTGCTCATTTTTTGCTTCCCTTAAAGACTAGCATGCACTTTGCACTTCACAGGTTTCACTTTGCCCCAACCAACGCCTAGATAATGAGCCTGTAGTGCTCAACTTTCTACATACTCCAAGTCAGCACGAGACAGGTTATACATGAATGCTGCATCACTGTTTGGCTGGAATTCACGCTCTCCCCGATTGAAAATAAGTCCCAGACGAATACCGATGCAGCAGTCGTGTGTATCCTCTGCCCCGTGCTGGCCTTTGGTAGGAGACAGAAAATCCAGCACTACGGCCTTGTTCAGGCTGAAAATCCCCCTCGCCACACTCTTTTCGGGACTATCTTCCCTAGTGATTTCCACTGTCGAGAGACGAATGAAAGAGGGCAAGGGAATATCAGGATCAATGGCGGGTGCATTCAAAGACCAAATTATCGACGACTGTACCTCTAGTGCCATCTACTGATAGGTGCAGCGAGCAGACGACCAGGCATGCCTGCCGTTGACTCTGGCAAGTTTGTTGAACTCCTTTTTCACAGGAAGGGAGCTGCACCTTAAAATTTTGCTAAGACCCACCACCAAAATATGCAGACAAAAATTTGAGATTGCTACATGTAGGCACAGATTTTTCTGGCCGATTTTTGAGCGTGCCTCGGCGTTTACGGTACCCGATAGATTAGTAGTTATTGTCATTGTAGTCATCTGGAGGGGTGACGCGCGTCTTCCGCGCAGGTATTCCGGTGGAGTGCATGCCCTCATCCGCACCATGCTGGAAGTGGACTGCCTCCAGAGGCCCTTCATCGAGAGCGTCTTAGAGCAGGTCGCCAGCCTCACTGCCTCTGCACAGCACCGGGTGTGAATGTGCCACTGCTTGCGCCCACATTAAACACTTCTGTTGCTGAAAAGCGTCTGCAAAATGTACCATTCGTGCACATTGCTCCATCCTTCTCCCCCGACTGCCAGTGCAGTACGACTGCTAAACCAACATCTAGGTAAGCCAGCGTCAGGCACAGATTGGACACGAGTGCTGCTTCGGCATTCAGCTGCGACTCCAAATTCTTGCCAAAAGAACACGAGTCCCAGTCGAATGCCGACACAGCACAGATGTCCAATCTGTGGTCCACGCAGACCTATAATAGATGACTTAGACAATATAGCACTATGACCTTATTTTCTAAGACATGGGTCCTCAAACTGGGTTCCTAAGAACCCAAGGATTCCCTAGAGTACCCTCATGGGTACCCTAGGGAATCCTTCATAATGGATGGATGGTAATGGCTATACCCTTAGTAATGGGCGGCAGCTTGCGCCACCTAGCCTAACATTTCGTCATCCCTTCTACTATTTTTTTTTTAATTTGTATGAATTTTGTTATAATAGACCCCCTCTCTTTTAAATTAAATTTATTGCCTATTTTTATACGTTTTTTTTTATCCTTCCCTAGATCTCTTCCACCAATCTTCCAATCTCCTCTTAGTTACCGCATTTCTTTCCCTATCCATTCGTCCATCCATGTCCGGAAAACCCAGTGCCCCCTCCAAATCCGTAGTCATCCCCCCCAAGAGGGTGGGACGAAGCCCCGTGCACCTTAAAATTACATGTTCTATAGTTTCCCTTTCGCGGTTGCATATGTCACACAGAGTGTCTACTTCCTAAAATTTAGCCCTATACGTTTTCGTTCGCAGCACCCCCGTTCTAGCCTCAAACAACAAAGAGCTCCCCACTAAATTATCATACAGCTGTTCCTTCTTTATTTCTTGTTTTTGTGCCCTGCATATTGCTATAGCTGATTTCCCCTGCATTCTCTCTTCCCACAATTTCCTCTCTGTTTCCTTTACTCCGTTTGCTACTGACATGCTCCGATCGGTTCCATCTCGCTGAATGTATTTAAGTCTCGGCTTGCAAGTTCGGTTTGTCCACCTAGTGTTTAAACTTTTCATATATGGATACTTGTACACTTTCGCTGCCCACCGTGTATCCTCAATTTCAGCTAGTCTTTGTTCAAATTTTACTTTACTCCTTAGAGTAAAGTAAAATTCCTTAGTTCCTTAGAGTAAGTACCCTCATGGATCCCTGAGCACCCTCATGGGTTCCCTAGAGTACTTTCATGGGTTCCCTGAGCATTTCCTCGACTATCCCTCCCCCTAAGCAAAGACTTTTTGCAGTTCGAGCCGTATCTTAGCAGGTCTGGGTCACCCATTGATGCGTAACTATGAGCCCAACACCCAACACTCCCTAGTATGCACATTATTGTTTACAAGGTCCGAAAGCTTCTGCACCACCTTACTAGATCACTTCTGAGATCCGAGGAAGCTTCTTGGCTGCTGTTCGAGGCGAATGAGGGTTTCTCGTTATTTAAAAATTTTAGAACCCCATGTCCAGGTGGTGTTGACTAACCTTGGGTGTTCAGTCGTATTGCCTAAAAAATGTCAATTCCTTATTCAAAGCTTTCGAAAACCTGTAAGGACCCCGCGAAAACCAGTGTGAGAAGGTATCAAAAAGAAACGAAAGATTTGCGTGTTTTTTAAAAACTTCATTTAAATATATCTCAAAACAATTCGCTTTCCCAGATCTCTGCCTATTTCGAATCGCTTCCGCTTGTCACACTTCCATGGCCTCCTCCTCCTCTTCGCTGTCGCTGGCAAAGCTGTCCCCCTCCCCTTCTCCCTCGCCTTCTACGTCGTCCTCGGAGGCTGTCCCGATCTCGGCCAAAAGCTCTTCGATGTGGGCCAGTTCTTCGGAGTCTTCGAAATGCACTTTGCGGGCAACCTGCGCAAAAGATGTGTGTCGAGTATTAAAAGGTGAAGCTACGCACCAGAGTTGCCAGATGCTCAGGATAACACACCGGCTAGAGCCACTACATAAGCTACACTTCAGCCATTTTAATACTTACAAACATGGTTGCCAGTTATACAAGGCTTTATCTGAAATGGAGGGACTGTTTTCCGTCCTCCAGAAATCTTAAAAGGGTCTGTAATTCAGCGAAACAGTACTGCAAGAGCTTCCTGGCATCATATCTAAAACTGAAGAAATATGAAGGTGAACGAACCGTACTGATCAAATGGAATAAAGGTTACAAAGTTGCCTAAAGACAAAACCTTTGGCGGCGCCAGGATTAAATCGGCAAGTCATACTAAGAATGGTAAGAATCTCCGCTCTGCACTAAGCATCAAAATGGTGGTACCCATGAGAGAATGGGGGGAATGGTGTGCTGAGACTCTAGGCATAGCTTAATCCGTGGCTCTGATATACCTGCTTGGGATATGCTCACTGATGCCCAACAGCCATCCCTAGGACCACCGGATGGTTACAGAAGCTCCCAAGCTTTGCTTTAGAATAGGCATGTGCAAATAGTGAATTTGGCCAAATATTTTCGAATTGACTAGTTTCTCTAAGCCTTTCATTACTGCAACAGGCTTAAACAAAAATCCAGCTGAACTTGTGAAGGTTGTTACCAAGCTTCCACTTACCCATTTGTAAGCTAAGTTAATTTTAATCTAGCTGTAGTCTGGCCTTCGACAGTCCAATGCTTACATTGGGAAGGTATGTAAACAAAACATGAAATTAAACCTATAGAGATGCCCAGCTATACCTAACCAAGGTGATTTATAAATAAACCTTGCAATATGCCAAGATCTTTTCTTCAATTAGGTATGATTAACGCAGGCTATATACTCGTGCATGCCAGTTTAATTTTAAAATTTTTACTGCAACGCAGACATTAACATTCGTAAAGTTTCCATTTCTTTATAAATACAACAGGTGTGCACGTGCACCATCCTGCTTTGGAAATGAGCTTCCCTTCTAAGCATGCAGCTGCAATATTTGTAGTTTTCAAAGTTTTCATCATGGTGGGTTAGCCCCGTTGAGTGCGCTTCTTACCAAACACCGGCGCACTGCGGAGAAGCCTTGCCCACAAAGGCAAGCTCTGCGGATGTTGCTTCCCCGCAGTGCACCGGTGCTCAGTAAGAAGCGCGCTTAACGGGGCTAGCCTGCAGCAATCGACATTCCGAAAAACATGAATATCGCACTTCATTCCGAAGTGGATATCAAATAGCGCAATACAGTGGAATGTCTATTATTCAAACTCGCGGATAATTCAAACTACCTAACATGCAGGTCCCGTCCTATGTGTTTCTAGGGAGGAAACTACCCGTAATCTAAACTTTGCATTATTAAAGCAAAGTTTTTGTCCACTTCAGGTTAAAATTAACACAAGATTTTACTGTATTCGAATATTCACACAACACTATCAGAGCCATACTGTGCTGTTGCCGCATCGTTTCAGAACTTGCCATAGATTGAATTTGATGGCTAGAAAACAGTGTCCCTGTTCAATTAAACCGAAATGGAGCAGGCAAATTCGGCAGGCTTTGCTCTTCAGTGGGGAAATGGGATGGCATCCTCCTTTTGTGACTGGATAACGGGATATTTAGAAAATGATAGTGCTAATCAATTCATCTGCCCCTTTCTGACCAGTCGTAATTTCCAGGCATAACCGCACGGCGCATTATGGGTAAATTTCCCCGCTAAATCTAGCGAAAAAATTTCCCCGCTAAATCTAGCGAAAAAATTTCCCCGCTAAATCTAGCGGAAAAATTTCCCCCGCTAAATCTAGCGGAAAAATTTCCCCCGCTAAATCTAGCAGAAAAAATTTCCCCGCCAAATCTAGTGGAAAAATTTCCCCGCTAAATCTAGCGAAAAAATTTCCCCGCTAAATCTAGCGAAAAAATTTCCCCGCTAAATCTAGCGGAAAAATTTCCCCCGCTAAATCTAGCGGAAAAATTTCCCCCGCTAAATCTAGCAGAAAAAATTTCCCCGCTAAATCTAGTGGAAAAATTTCCCCGCTAAATCTAGTGGAAAAAATTTCCCCGCTAAATTTAGCAAAAAAATGACCCCCGCTAAATCTAGCAGGAAAATGTCCCCACTAAATCTAGCGGAAAAATTCCCCTGCTAAATCTAGCGGGAAAATTTCCCTGCTAAATCTAGTAGAAAAATTTCCCCGCTAAATCTAGTGGAAAAAATTTCCCCGCTAAATCTAGCGGAAAATTTTCTCTGGGGGGTCACGTGACACCCCCAGGTCACGTGACCTTGGGGATGGGGTCATGTGACCCCACCCAGGTCACGTGACACGACACCCCCCCCCCGAGAACACGTGAACCTCAGTACTCTTCCCTCCTCCTCAAGAGCTGCGCTCTAATTCGGCGTTACAGGCAGTTGTAAACGGCTTCCATTTTTTATTGACCCAACGATAGCCAATGAAAAATGTTAATAGACCTTTTCCATAATCAAAGCTTGCAGTGTGTTCTGGGTACCAGTTGGGCACCGAATTTGTTTCAGCCAGTCAACTTCACAATGCAAATGAAACTTGGTTCATGACATCACCTCCCGATCAAATACGCTGCTTGTGTCTTTAATTAGCTAATTTGAGACAAATGTAGGATACCATAGGCGTTGCCACCCAACATCAAAAGAAGACTGGGGCACTTTTTTTCTTTCTCGTTCCCAAACATGCCGGATTGTGTGCATTGGCAAATGTAGTGAGACAATGACTTACCAACTTTGCCGTGTAACTGTATCACTGAGCTCAACACTACCAAGCCTACCAGAACTGGTGCACCACAATTGAAATTAAGTGAGTTAGTGCTGCATCTTATTCTCATGGGATGGCGCATGGCTTGTTTTGCACATGTTTACCCAGCAATATGTCTATGGAGAGGCTTCAGAACACAAAACAACTCTGTTGCTAGTGTTGTGAAGCCTCCATGAGCAGCCATCCATCGCGCACGCAGGTCGACTTATGGTTCTGACAAGACACGCTGGCAGAGGAGGTGGAATAGTGTACACGACATTATGGTAGTCTAACTCACCGGGAGAATAAAGGTATACGCCTCGCAAGTGGGCTCATTTTCGTCTTCTGCGCATAAGAAAGGAAGTAGCGGTGACGTCAGAACGCCGAACTCTGATTGGCTGATCGCGGCCCCCTATCTCAGCGTCGTCTGCTCCTTTGCAACGTCGTCTGCTCGCAACGTCGTCTGCGTCTGTCTTACCTTTCCTGCGACTTTCGGAGCGAACTCGACCTCGCCTTTAAGAGAGGGCATACGAAATAACTCGAGCGGTACATTGTTTTTGTCTAACAACTAGCAGACGCGCATCAAGGAGGGAAGTCAAAGGACTCCCTGGCGAGGTGTCCCGGGGTGCCGCGGTTTTTTTGCTTAGAACCGAGGCAAGTTTTCTCCCAAATATACTTTTTCCCTTCATTCGTGTGCGGCGAGACCCCTCACTCTTTAACGGCGTCGGCGGGTTGGCGCAGTTAACGTCGTCTGCTTTACGTCTGCTAGTCAAAGCGGTCAAAGCGATGGCTGCTTTACCTTTGCTGTGTCTGTCGGAGATTCACCGCTTTTTCATCGGCGAGAGTCACCGTTGCCTCGGGAAACAAGGAGATAACAAGAGGAAGAAATTGACATTTTAATCTAAAACTGAAGTCAGCAATCAAAATATTATACGGGAAGGGTTCACAAGGGTCGCGCGGGCATATTCCACTCAGCACGCCAGCCGGTCGTGGGCAGACGGTCGCCGAGTCGCGGAGAGCCTGCTAGGCCTAACTGCCCAGCTCGTTTGGTCGCGTTCGGTGGGATCGTGGCCGTGGGAGCTTTTCCCGGGTGTTTGTGGATCCAGCGTTCTTGTTCGTCGTAATCTGTTTCAAGTACTTTTTACTTTTTTCTTGCTGCTTGAAGTCGGGACGTGTCAGAACCGCACGTAAAAAAATAAACGTCCGTGGGTCGTCGCGACCGCGACGTTGTCGGCCATGCTGATTTGATCGTAAGAAGTGCGTAAGACAGCTTCGGAGCTGTCGTAGGATTTTGTCGTAACCTGCGCAAAACTTACGAAAATTTCGTTTCGTGAATACGAATTTGCTCTTAAGCTTTGTCTTACGCACATTTTTGGCGTAAGATCGTTTCGTGAATCTGGCCTCTGCACTTCCGAAAGTCGCGGGAAAGGTAAGAGAGACGCAGACGACGTTGCGAGCAGACGACGCTCAGATAGGGGGGCGCGATCAGCCAATCAGGGCTCGACGTTCTGACGTCACCGCTACCCCCTGCGCGAGAAGCAGACGAACTTGCCCTCCGCATATAGTCTCGCAGGTTAAGAATGGCAGGACAAACTCATCCCGCCACGCCCGCCATCCTTTCCGCTTCAGCAGAGTGAATGCCAGAGAGGAGGCAAGTGAAGAGGAGGAAATAACCAGTCATGGCAAGCAGAGAGCTTTGCGGGAGTGACTTGACCCGCTAGTTTTAACCTACAACATCCATCCTTTCTTTGGTCAGCCTTGCAGACAACAATGTTAGGAGTTTGAAGACAGTGGCACCAGGACAGACCCTTGTGATGCTACCGTTGCCGTATAGAGCTCCAACAGTTTCTCTTACAGTATCCCGTACCACGCTGGGTTAGAGTGAGATGCCAGTGTATACCACACTTACCTGTTTAGCCTTGGTCAGGTAGAAGCGAGCGTTGTCCATGTACTCCCCGGCCCTCAGGTAATTCAGCCATCCCAGCAGGTACCAGACATCTACCACCTCGTCGTCCTCTTCCACCAGGCCGTCCAGGACAGCATTGGCCTCCTGGATGGAATATAATTGTGCAATTGGTTAGACCACGGGTTCTCAAACGTTTGGGACTCGGGAACCCCAGCAACCCTTAAAGAGTGCCAAGGAACCCCCCCCCCCCCCCCCCCTTTCCCACTGTTTTGCTACCTGGATACACTTTCAATAGAAGAGTTAACAAAATATTTACAGTTAAACCTGGATATAACGAAATTGATAAAATTTTGCAATAATTCATTATATGGAGGATTTCGTTACATGCAGTTTTCGCGGAAAAACTCGTAAAGGACACGTGGAAAGAAAACAAAAATTAAAAATCCACTTGGGGAAACTCACTACATCATTTATTTATAGTGGAAAAGAAGTCTGTGAGCTTGCTTTGTGTCTTTCGCACGAGCAAAGGCAGCACGCACCACTCAAAAGATACCAAAGCGTTTAGAGCGCTGTCGTCGTCCTAAGAGCTGGCGACCTGGCGTAATACATCGATGGCATGCAACGATCAAATCGGACGCTGTCGGCTGCTCCTCTGTGTCGCATCGCAAAATTGTGGCAAGTAAAGTCGGGCTTTTATTCGTGGTGACTTTTGTGTAGTGACGTCAAAAGGCTGCTGACACCCCCAGCTGCACGTGAGGCTGGGGGTCTGGCGGCACCCGGAAAGCGCAACGGCTTGCCTCTGCCGTGCCCGCTCGCTGCCATTACCGACGTCTTTTGGTCGGCTGCCCGCCTTTGGTGGCAATTGGACGAGAATATATCTGCATTTTAGGTAACTCAAAATAAACACCGATAAAAAAAAAAAAAAAAAAAAAATGGAGATTGCGGCAGAGCGAGTTTGTTAAATCAAGATTATCCATCGCAAGCACTTCGTTACATGGAGTTCACAAATACAAGCGCTTCTATGAAGATCGCGTCGGGGAATTGAAAAAGTTCCTTAAATAGAGGATTTGTTGTATACACCAACTCATGTTTACAAACAAACCGGAGCGCCCCTAGTGGATGCCACCGGCGCCGCGCATGCGCGGTGGATGGTGGGCAAGAAGCCCGCCGTCGCCCATAAACAAACCATTGAATTGCGTTGTTGTCGGCGTCGGTGGGAGTCCCCGTGCTCTTTTTCGCGTTGGAATTGTTGATTCTACGTCCTCCTAACAATGTCTGACTACTTGAGCGGCTTCAGCAAAACTATCGAGGCAAAACTTTGCGTGAATAATGTGACGTGCGGCGATTCATTTCACGTGGACGCCGCAGAATGGGCGCTAAAGCCTGACTCCCACGATGAGATTCTGCTCGCTATTTACAGTCGCGACGTCGCTCGGACTGCAAAAGCGTGGACCGTAGCCGAGATGGTGGACATCGATACTGAAAACCGCAAGTAGAATCGGGAACTACAAGTCGGTGATGGCCACTGGTAACAATGATCAACAACTTATTGTATCTGTTTACACTTAGCCTACCCCAACCAACCTTCAAAAGTGTTTTTGGGCCTGCACTTAGTTCTTATCGCAATTACCGGGTCAACGTTTGGTTTACGGGCCGCTGTCGTTTGAACGAATTGACGACAAAAAGCAGCCAAGTTTGAAAGAGCAGACGACAGTTCGAACGCACGCGCAATGGATTACGGGCAAGAAGCACCGCGTCCCGCGTAAACAAACCATTCGAATGTCACGTTGTCGGCGTCTGTGTGAGTCTGCATACTCTTTTTCGCGTTGGAGTTGTCGATTCTACGTCCTCATCGCAATGTCTTACCACTTCAATCGCCTGAGCGAAGTTATAAAGGCTCGTTACGCCGCTAAAATTTCCGTAAATAATTTGACGTGCGGTGATTCATTCGCATGAACGCTGCAGAATGGACGCCAAAACCATGATGAGATTCTTGTAGCTATTTTCGGTCGCGACGTCGCTCGTGCTGCAAAAGTGTAAAAGGTAGCGGCGATGACCGACGTCGATACTGAAAATCGGAAGCGGGAACAGACCAAGCGTAACAAGTAGGTGATGGCCACCGGTACGAATAATTAACATCTTGTATCTACTGTTTACACCGAGCCTACTTAAGTCTTTTGAGGCCCGCAGTTACTTCTTATTGCAATCACCGGGTCAAAGTTTGGTCTACGGGCCGCTTTTGTTTGAACGAGCAGACGACAAAAAGCAGACAACTTTGAGAGAGCAGACGAAAGTTCGAACGATCAGGCGGCCGTGTGAATTTGAAGACGCACTGAATCCGTGGGTAGTCCGGACAACTTGGGGGTTTTCTTTCGTTCATGTTGGAAGAAAGCAAATACATCTGGTGTAGTTCGACAGCGTCTGGTTTGCCCTTTTCACGGCTGCTATCCACGTTCTCGGGCGAACGGAGGGGACAGAAACACATGAAAACTGATCTTCAAACCTGTCCAGATTCTCTTGGTAAAGACCCCATCGCAGCATTTTGACGAGAAGGCAGGTTTTTGTCTCGTTTCTTCCAAAGGAACACAGGAATGCATGTCTCGCACGGCGACTTCTGCCCACCGACCCAGACCGGAAGTGCGTCCGGCGCGCCACCACCGCGGCGTGACGTAGGAGAGTTGAGTTGGTGTATACAGGTTCGTTACATCCAGGTTTAACTGTATTGCACAGATAAAACAATAAAAAGCAGAACACACATTAGACTGAAGGGTGGGATTACAATGAAAGACAGTATAAATATTAGTGTGAAGGGTGGAGTTGCTTTGCTCGCAACAGCGAATCGATGCATGGCTCAGTCACGCTTAGAGCCAGCCTCATATCTGCTGCCGGGTTCAGTCGGTTCCTGTGCTTGCTTTTCAGGAAGGCTAGTGCTGAGAATGCCTGTTCACAAGCATATGTAGTTGCAAAAAAAGAAGCATGTGCATGTAGGATTGGGGGGAGGGAGGGGAGGGGACTGACTCCGCAGAACCCAGTTTGAGAACCCATGGGTAAGACAGCTGAAAGTTAGTTGGTCTCAGTCTCCCATGTGACAAGAAATTTAGCCAGTGCAGTACTACACCCAGTCTGGGGTTTTGTAATGTGCACCACGCAGTAGTGATGCATAACCGAACGTCGGTACGATGCTCAACCAGATCAAAATGGGCAGGGGTAGGAACTGAACTCGGGATCCCTGGGTTCTGCAGCGCGAGCTTTCGCTCCACGTTCTCCGAACTGGTGTAAGCCAACACACTCGGCCACCAATCCCCCTAAATGAGGTGACAGACAAGCGCTTGTCAATGTTACAAGATTAGTTCAGCTGCTGAACTGCCCATAGACGCTACTTGCACGAGCAGTACCCCCCTCTTCCACCACAACTCGCCTCCCGTCGTTCGACATGCCACCATTTGGGGGGACAACTGCTATGGTAACTACAGTGTATTCATTGGAATGCTTATGTTTTGATGAGCAGCATCTAGGTGGCATTTCACTGTAGTCTATGGAATGCACAGTTTTGCACCAATGATCTAGATGGCGCTTCAAACGACGAAAGGTGGACCGGAGGGGGTGAAAGGGTGTACCCCCCTCTGACCCCACAACTGACCTAATCTAGTCACGTTGGCGCATGTCAAGCAACCCACAGAATGGCAGTGGCCACTCAATGTCATAACTAATGTTTGACACCATATGCTGTGGTTCGATGCTTTGAAACCATCCACGCATGACACAAAGTTTGTTCCTTACATCCATCATCTCCAGCTCGATGAGCACCTTGGCACAACTGACTCTGCAGCTGTAACTCAGCGGGCACACCTGCGTCAAGGAACATTGGTCGTTACACAATGAGGTATGCCTGCCTTGACTAGTAGTACCTATACTAGGCGTCATCCACTATTTTGCGCTACACTATCAAGGCCAGCATAGCTTCCACAGTGCAGCAGCCTCACACTGCTGCGAGAGGATGTGGCTTCGTCTTGTGCCTCATTTGCACAAATTCTCATGCAAAGGAGCTTTGAGAGCGTTAGAGCAGTGCGGAAGCTACATTAGTTTCGACAAAGTAGCACTAAATGGTTGATGATAGGTGTAGAGTGCCTAAAAAAGGCGCAAGGAAAGCTAGCCCACTCTTCAAGAAACCAAAGCTGGAGCGAACCAATAGTAACCCTCTCTCAGTGACTTCCCTCCCACCGTCGTAATTGTGACAATCGTACGAAATGCACTTCGTCTTTTCCCGACGTCGTGTTCATTCTAGCGATGCACTTCTGGCTCGACAACTTACACGGTTAGACTGTTTGGTTGTCTGGATTATGGCGACAATTTCTCTGAGAACCATCTCAGAAAGTTTTAGAAGCCCTTCTAGAATTATAGGACTACACTCAAATTACCCTCCTTAATACGAAGCAAATCCTTCAAACCCTTTTCACTTTTAAATAGGAGTCTGGCATCTTTCTCATCCAGACAAAAACAAGCGCAAAAAACTACAAAGTTAGCTTAATGACCGGCAGGCAACCTCGGTCCTATGGAGGGTATCCGCTTAGTGTCCTCCCTCAAACTGCGAGGGTAACCGAGACCTTCTAGATGGAGTGAGTGAAAACAGAAATTCATGTTGGGCCTCTGGAGCAACATTAAAGTGCATCTAGTGAAAAGATAGGATGGCGGAATGCTGCTTTGCACTTGCCTCTACCGGGTCCTGCCCATCCTCTTCGCCTTGATTTCCCTGGCAAAGTCGCTCGTGCTGTGGTAACCATAGGTCTAGGCTCCTGCGCATCGCTTGCTGCGCCCCCTACGAGAAACAGATGACCTTGAGTGGCACGAGTCACCCACAAGCAAATGCATGGAAAGAAGGAAGCTTCTCGGTTATTCAAGCTTTTTACATGTCTACAATATTTTTTTTTGTGCGCAGGTAACAATATTTAGAATAAAAAAAACTTTATGAGTTAATGTCTAATGAAGTAACAAAAACTAGCATATTTTCCAGCGCAGAGGTCGAGGGATCTTCCCAAATTATTCATCAGTGCGTCCTATACAACGGTGCGACTTGCATACAACCTTTTTTTATATGTACGGTCTTTAATTGCTAAGATGAAGGTCATATTTCAATTGACAACCAAGAAGGAAAATCAAAGCACTAGCCGATAGACTGCTTTTTGGTTTTAAAGGGATACTGAACCGAAATGTGGATTTCGCAAAAAAAGGCTGCAGAAGTGTTGAACGGGACGCTATGAACTCCAAAACATCACTCGTGCATCGATATCTCAAACGGATGGCCGTACTTTTGGAAAAGAAGGGCGCGATCAAGCGAGTTCTTTGACGTAACTGTCCTCCGGGAGAATGTGAGAATGAGGAGAAGTGGCCTCGCTTCTCTCCTCCTCGCCTCGGTTCACCAGCTTGACGCGACGTAGCGAGGAGGAGAGAGAATGGGAATCGTGACGTGCCTTGTCGCGTCGGCCTCGTCGGCCGGGTTCAATCGCGCACTTCTTTTCCAAAAAATACGGAGATCCGTTAGATATATCGCCGTATGAATGATATTTCTTGGTTTTGCAGCTTCCCGCCTATCCGCCCGGCCTTGTTTTGTGAACTCGAATTTTCGGTTCAGTATCCCTTTAAGCATGGCAGCATCGCTCCACGGCTGCAGCGACTTTCCGACCCAGCCCTCGCAGCACTGCGTAACTATATGCGATTTATACAAAGGTGCGACCTATAAATCAACATTTATTTTAAAACAGCCGTTTATAGGGAAATGCAACTTATTTAAAGGTTTGACTTATAGGCCGGAAAATATGGTACTGGCAATACCACCTTTATTTGAAGTATCAAAAGGAATCTGAGGAAAAAAAAAATAGAAATGAAACATAATTGTTTGCAATACACGAATAACAGCCACTGACTATCCTTAGATGACTGGGATTTTGAAACCCTTTATCACGCAAACAGAACTTAGCATTCGGGGTGTACCGCTGTGGAAGAGCGTCACATCAGTGATGTGTCGGCGTTCGGCAGGGACTTGTGTTCAATCGCTAAGAACAAGAGTTCCACCGAACGCTGACACAGCATTCGTGTGACGCTATCTCATTACAAGAGCGCATTACCAGAAACTAATAGGAGCCAGCAACATAACGCATCCTGTGATAAAAACAAAAAGCCCCTTGATCCCACATGCCTCAACACCCGACACATGCCCGACACATGCCTCAACTGACCAGTTACAACGAACCCGGCCCGAGCCCGAGTGTTTGGTCACCTCTGTGTCCTGCTTGACCAGCAGGTAGCTGGCTTGACACTGCAAGGCCTCCGGATTCTTAGGGTCGGCCGCCAGGCCCCTTTCTATCAGCTCGGCGCACTGCGTCTCGGCGTCTCCTTCGAAGCTGCAGACACCACGCATAATTGTGGACAGAAATCCTCCTTAGTGAAATATTATTACCTACAAGTTTGCCAAGAGCCCTAAGACTGCCAAGTGGTTAAATTGGAGGCGTGCACTATGAAACTATGCAGCCAAACACATATGTGAATTGCACGGATAAAGAAGTCGTGAATTTGCAGTTAGAAAGCACAATTTCAGGCTTATACTTCGATTCTAAGTAGCATAATGCGGTAGTGACTTCAAAATGTCTCGATGAACAAAAATTTGTTTCTCTCCTATGATCATTATCTGACATGCCGAGATGCAATATGAATGACAAGAACCGGCTCTGCCCTCCCTACTCCTTTGAGTGACGATGAGAAAACCAATTTCAGAGCTGGCACCTGGTTGGCAAGGTTTTAATCGTCTGCCCCTCCTATTTTCATCTGTCTTTTGCAGACATGGTCTCTCGCAAAAGTATGTTTGATGGCCTATCTGCTAAACCAGAGGCCCCCAGAGTTGCATGCTCTGCTATAGTCCCAAAAAGAGAGTGGGTGAGAGATAATGTTATATAAATTTAAAAAAAAAAAGGACAAACTTCGGTGGGAGTTGTCCTGCCTGCTACACTACGCTGATAATAAGCTCCACTTGAAGAGGATAAAAGAAGTCATACCAGCAGTCAGTCATGTAGATCTCGGCCATTGCACAGTATGCAGAAGACAGTTCACGGCTCAGGTGTCCACTGCCCTCTGGATCCTGGAGGCCAGAAGCAGAAAAAGATTCCATACCATCCTTTGGAAAACAAATGCCTTAACAAAGTGAATAAGCTCTTAGGACTAGTAGTGCAGGCTCCAGCTACATCGCCTTCCAGGTGTTTACAGTCATAAAATATGTAAAAAAAATTAACTGCGCGTCAGCTGGTTAGAACAATTGATAACTCATAAACACCCCTGAAACTACCCCAATGAGAATATGTGCATATACAGGGTGCCCTGCAAATTCACCTCTACCATCAGATTAGTGCGACGACGCTGATATCTCCGTGGTTTTTACAAATTGTGCCTGCTAGAATTGCCCATCCTGCTGAGCGACATTTGTGCCGTCATTGCGGAAGCTAATATATGTTATGTACCTAGTAACCACAATTTGCGAGACCAAGAAAGGTCACCGGCTTGCATTTGTTTTCTACTGTTCTAATGAAAAAAAAGGGAATCTATGAAATGTTCCTTGCATAAGTCTCATGCTATGTTGACTACAGATGCAACAAGGTCTGTAGTTGGGCTAGTTGGTTGATCATATTGAAATGATGTTAAAACAGTGCAAAAAGGACGATGGACCAGTGGAAGGAGAACAAAGACGCAGCAAATTTTTTACAAGTTGTAGATGCAACTTGTATAAAATTATGTGTCGCGTCTACCATAACAGCTAGCCATAACTGACGTTCACAATCAATTCATTTACATTCATCGCTGCAAAAGAATTAAGGAGGCACTCAAGTGGATTTGAACATTGTCTATTTGCCATCATAACCTAATCTATGGGCTCTAAGCATTCTAAAAAAAACCAAAATTACATTCAAGGGCGGCCGATTTCCTTATTAAAAATCCAATCAAAGATTGTGCCAGAACCCCCTTTCTGCGCCGTGGCGCAGAACACCAGAGGTGCCACCAGACGGGAAGGCAGCAGAAAAAAATTTAGTCCCTGCGGACTACATTTTCAGAAATGCGCGCCTCAAAAAGAATATTGTCCGCCGGGAAGCCGTCAATCATGATTGGCTGTCATGTGCCCTCCCCTGCTGCCTTCCTGTGCAATGGCACCCCTTTGTGTTCTGCACCACGGTGCGGAAAGAGGGGCACGGCACTATCTTTTATTGGACTCTTATTAGGGAAATCGGCTGCTCTTGAATGTGATTTAGGTTTTTTTAGGATGCTTAGACCCCGTAGATTGAGTTACGACAATCAATAGACAATCTCAGAATCCACTTGAGTGCCCCTTTAAGGCTTTTACGACAGGCTGATTGTGACGCAAGATGTCTAACGTAGGTGGAGATAAGAGGCAGGCAGGCACATGGCCAAAGCCGCAGGAGCTCAAATCCAAACTCTTCACACACCAAAGCAAATCGCTGGCCGGTTGGCAGGGCCGCAGCCCTGGGCTGGCAGGGAGTCCCGTGACAGGTGGAAACAAAACTGAACCTTGTCGCACATTGACTAATATGTATCGGTCATATTGCTAGCAGGTAAGACCCTATAATGCTCCCACCTACAAATTTTGTGTTACGCAAGATGGGATGTTTCTGCTCGTAGTCTTAACGAAATTATTGTGCTTGTTGCACTTTAATTGGCATGTGTTATGAAACACTGACGCGTTGCATCAATAGTGTGAACATGTCTTCAGTGTCTGAAGGATTTTAGGGTCTGGCCATAAAATATCAAGCTCCAGTGGTCAATGCTCACATGATATTCTGCACATACTTGGCAGTAATACACCCCAGAAGCATATTATGTGTAGTCAAGTTTCAAAGATTTCTCATAATACACCCTACAAACACTAGTTTCACCATTTATTATTAATGATAATATTAATGATGATAAAAATTTTTATTCGCACAGTTCGATTTGCCTACTCAGCAGCGTGCAAAGCTAGACAGAAAGGTGAGGACCCATACGCAAGTGCGCCTGCTAGCCCGCCACCCAGCGGGTGGGTATACACATACACATAAATACAAAAACAGAAAAAAAAGAAGCTAATTTCCTTTAATTTTTTTGACGCAGACCACAGCAACGAATACAACCGTGAGTCCAGTGCAGCTGGCACCTCGACTGCAAGCGTTAGCACCACTGTCAGGTCGCATCTGCATCGTAGACTGAAGAAAAATTATTGGAGGCCGTGGGGTGTTCTTTCGAGAAGGCAACGGAGGTGTCGAACAGGTTGTTTGCAAAGTCTGGCACGGAACAAACCAGACATTACCACGGGTCGTTCCAAGAGCTCAATTTTCAATACTGCGGCAGAGACACATAAGCACACGGACGGTGATATTAAACGTCACACGCGTTGCAACATAGCACAGCCTGGCAGTCGAGAACACGTTTTGTGCAGCGAGTGCAAGTGGTGTGCCGAGGTCCCGGGTTCGAAGCGACGTCCCCGGAGAGAAGGAGAGCGGAGTCTGCAAGCCACTCAGCACTGACACAGAAGAGCAAGCAAGCCGCACAGTGCTTCCACCGCTGGAGCACAATCCCCCTAGGCCTAATGCCCAGTCCATTTCGGCATCTCATACACACATCGGACGCGCTCATGGTGTACAAGTCGCAGCCACGAAGTCCAGGAGGGTTTGATGAAGAGATGTATGTGTAGGCACGGTAGAAGACCAGCAAGAAAAGCAGGAAATATACAAAAACAGTGCAAGATGGGCGAATTGCAGCTGCCATGCTACACATTCGGGGACAAAAAAGATGTTTTCAGCACATTTAGTAATTTCTGTAACAATCTACTAGGAGAGTTAGCGATTAGTTAGAGCTCAAAGTTGAGCAATGTGTAACATCAAGATGCAAAAATGGAAAAAAAAAAAAAAATAAGACTGAAAGGTTATTGGTTCCACGTTCTAGACGTACCCGATACAGCTGAATGGGCCAGTTCTTTCTTTAAATCACCCCCGAGGTTACCCTGTCTGATGTGCGTTGCACTTCCGGCACCAAAGACGAATGTCTTACCGCTTCTGCAGAGGCACCCTGCCTCTCCCCTAGAAGCCTCTGAAGAATTTCGACACCCTTGGAATAGTGTCTCAGAGACTCTTTGCCATCACAAAGCTGTCCCATCGACAGGTACTTCCGGAAACCGTCGTCTGGCTCCAGCTCGATCATCCTCTGCAGCAGCTGCCATCGAAACAAAATAGAGCATAATATGAGGAGAGCAAGTTGTCTGCTTCTTGCGCAGGAGTTGCAGCGACGACAGAGACGCCGAGCTCTGCTTGTCTCTCATTGAAAGGATAGTGGGTAGACCTCAATGCTAGATGCCCTGAGGACTACCCACTATTTTTTTCAATCAGCCAATAAAAGCTTGTGTATTCTGACATCATCGCAACTTCTGTGCAAGAAAACAAACTTGCGCTCCAGGCGAATCATAACTTCTAGCGTTGAATGGGCCACACAAAAGGTATGTAGAACTTTGATATGTGCTCTCAAGTAACACACGTTGCGAGATGGCTTAGAAAACTTAATAGTTCGTGATGATCGCAAATGTTTACGAGGGTGCACCAACCTGGGACGCCCCAGCCACGTCTCCCATTTCAAGCAGAAGACCAGACAGAACGTCCAGGGTCTTCAGATTGTCCGGTTCGAGCCGCAGCGCTCTTTCGCCCAACTGCCTCGCCTGGTCAAACTGAAGTTCGTCCATGGCACTTTCCACCTGAGGATACCAAAGGTATGGTACGGCTCGTTCAAACTGACAGGTGTCAATGCATGGTAGCAACAGCTACAGGTCAGCAGCTTGTGGTTCACTTACCATCGAGAGGAGCTCTTCAACGCTGCTTTCGGCATGCTTATTTTCCTTGGTCTCATTTTTCTTTGAGGCCCGTTCTGAAATAAGGCGGGATCAGAAGCGAGCCAGGTTTGATTGCGTTGATCCGCGGTCAGGTCCAATCTAAATGAAGAGTTTAGACTCACTCGTTTTGTGCGATTGTTTGGCTTTGCTCCTTCCCATGGCGAGAGCCACCAAGAGTTGTTGATCAAACGCAATATCTGTCTTGGTCAAACAGTTACCATCCGAGAAACACGTGTGAAGCCAGCGATGCCCAAACAGAAAGTAGACTTCTTGGCTTTAAATCGGTTCCAAGCCGTAAACAAAGCACCAGTCAACAGCAGCCAAACTAGTAGCCGTTACCTGCCAAAGCGAGTGAAAGTCACAGCCGGTATCGCCGTCCATCGGAGATGGGTGAGCTCGAACTTCAAAAGTCCATCGAGCTCAAGAATGCAAAACGAACTCAGCTGTCGCCGTTTCGTTGATATTACTCAACGATCCAGGCATTCAGGCAAAGCACTCCGCTAAAACTCTCATCTTGGGGGTCGCGCCCAGCTAAGCACGATCGCTTTCTTCTATGTTCACCCTCTGCCGAACAGGGTCTCGTCGCCGGAGGCGGCTGTTCTGGCTTCTGTCGGCCTGCAGCGTCGTGTACATCTTGGCTCTCCTGTCCTTCCGAATCGAGCCCACTTCCTCCAGGTTCCACGAGTTCTACAAGTGTCCCGCATGTTACGGAGACGGCCTGTGTCCCCTACTCGGGAACCTCGAACTCGAGGGCTGGTCGAGCCGCGCCGTTCTGAGACGCTTCAACGTGAAGAACGTGTTTTACGGCAAGTGGAACAACACACGCGTCGTGGCCAAAAAGCTCGCCCACGACACCGAGTTACTCGATGCGGACTCCAGGTTGTGCGGACGAACATCCCACCGGTGCAATGTGGCGGAAGCTGTGCGCGACAAACTTGGCGGCGGTGACCGGGTCGCTGCACTCCTCGCGTTTATGTCCTCCGTGCGGACAAACCAGGACATCACGACGTGTCCTTCGAAGAGACTCATCCGGCATGTCTTGAGTGCCGTGGACGCAAACGCCATGGCCGTCGCTCAGCGGGAGGGCAGACTGCAAGCAGCGCACGTAGTTGCGTACACTGCTAGCGTCAACCCGGAGCCCTTGATCCTGCAGGTAGTATTAAAGTCTGTGACAGGTTAAGAATACCGCAACAAGCACCTAACACAGCTTTCTGCTCGCTGTGATTGGTTCTTTCCCCTTCTCCACTCGCCCCCTTTCCGGCATTCACTCAGCCAAAGTGGAGTGGGGGGCTTTGATTGGAAGGAGCTTGTTTCAATATTTTTAACCCGCAACTGACAATAATTATGGCCCGATCATGACGCGCTGAATGTAAGGCCGACACTAACATAACGGCTATCTCTCCTGTAGTTAGTTCAGTGCGATGCCCGAATTAGACACTAGCGCCAGGTCAGCGTTTATTTTGACACGCAGAATCTAGAGTTTTACTCGGGTAGGTGCCTCGTACAGTACGTGTTATCATTGTTGAAACCAAAACAAATTGAGAAAGAACCATGCAATGAACACATTTCCATCTGCCGTTGACCTACGAGGGCGACTGCGCCCGATAGGATGCTATTTTAAATGTCGTTAGCACGCAAAAGGTTAAACTGATATCCTCGGTTGCAGGTATAGAATTTGTGTCTCCAGTTACTTGCTCACCTTTGTATGTCGATGGTATACAAAGGCAAGCAAGGCTGAAATTGGCAAAACGACAGTGCTTAAAAATGAAAGAAACTAAATGTTCTCGGACAATGTTTAATAAAAAAAAAAAAATCTGTTTTTTTCTTCTTTTTTGGGGGAAAGGGGGGGGGGGGCATTTGATTTGGAAGAATTGGCAACAACTTCGGAAGTTTTGCTGATTGTCAAAAGTCGCAACTTTGATAGCACCATATGCTTAACCCACAATTAATGCAATTTTATGTGAATTTCTAGATTAGCTAGAATGTTTTCATTGATTTTAGACTATTTTCATTTTATAACTTGTTCATTAAAAATTCAGCAATTGGCACTCGTTATAATAATTTTCACACTTTTGATTGCCATACTTGTTTGTGCATATGAAATTAGATTGTAAGCAACAAATTGTATTAGAGCTTGAAAAACTATGTGTTAAAATATCTTCATTATTATTAATACAAATTGTGGCAATGTAGGTTTCCAGTAAATGCCACAATAAAAAAAATATGCAATCTAACCAGACTAGTATTTTCAGAAAGGTCTCATTTCGTTTCCTTTTTTGCATATGAAAAACTGACATTGTTTTCAAGATATACAAACAGCCAAACACTGGATGTAATGTAACAGGGGTAGCCAAGCTGCGGCTCGCGAGCCGCATGCGGCTCTTCGCGTGTTAAAATGCGGCTCACAGCTTCCTCCCCTAACCCCTAACCTCCTCCTCCCCCCCCCCCCCACACCCACACACACACACACTCCCGCGCCTTCATTCCGGTTAAACGAGCACTTCCCCAAAAGGAGAAATGGAATGTGTTTTAAATCAAAAGACAGGCACAGGTTGCAGTTTGGCAGTCCTGTGCATATGCTACCTTACGTACAGTTGGACAGTTTTTGACTCGGGTAGTTTGAAAGTAGTTAGAGTCTCGTTTATTGTTCTAAACAAAAGTTGCCCCCCCCCTGCGGCCCTTGAAAGTTTCGAGGTTTTGTTTACGGCTCTTAGGCCGGGTCAGCTTGGCCACCCTGGCCACCCCTGTAATATAAAGTTGTAAGCATCATGCATTGCTTTAAAAAAACAAAAAGACATACACAGCACACTTCTACTGTCTGACTTAGATACCGTCTTTTTGGTTTTTGTAGTGAGAACAGCGTTTCTTAATTTATATGTTTTGTGAACATATTCTGAACTCATCACCCATAACAATTTTTTTGTAAAATGTGGATTGATTTTGTTATTCTTGGCTGGGAATAATCTTAAAGCAGTTAATCATATATAATTTCATATGACAATTATCTGAACAAGAAAAGGCAGCAAGAACATGCAAATATCAGCACTGATTTTTGCAATAAATAGTACAATATTCTATGTTACTTCTAATGTGTATGAAAGACCCTGTCTTTAAAGTGACACTGAACTTTCCAAAAAAATTTTAAGTGCCTGGATCGGACACGTATTTCACTAAATAAAGTTTCCACAAACAACTTTTTTTAGCTCAATAACTATGCTGCGAGACACATCTTAAGTTACGAAAGAATCCGAAATTAACACATACACTGAGAAACAAATCCGAAATAGAGGTTAATTTTGGTTTCGTTGCAGAATTAAAACATACGTCCTGGTGTAAATAGTATCACGCTAAACGCCATCTTTGTTTTCAGGATAAAGAGGTGACCTGCACTCATGACACCCTACACGCAATGACAGGTTAAGAAAAGTATTCGAGGGAAAGTAGGGCTGGGGAGGACGAAATAAACACAATGCTAAAGAGAAGAGAAGGAGATGTCCTCTCTCTCCAGATTCTGTCTGCTTCCTCCTCCTCAGCCTTCCTTTCCCTCAAAAACTTTTTTTAACCTGTAACTGACTATAGCTTCCTCATATAAGCGGGAATAATTTGAGTCGCTCAGTGAAGCCAGCACACTAGACAGGCTCAGCAACCAGTATACCGGCACGCATCTCTGGCCCTCGCTATAGCCGCCATTTTGAAGAATGAGTGGCGTCACCTATAGTGAGTGTGAGTCGTGAATAGCACAAGCCCCTTCCGCAAAGCTCTCTGCTTGCCATGATTGGGGTTTTTCTCCTCTCCACTCATCTATTCAACTCGCCTCCACTCTAGCTGAGCTGCCCGTTGTAAGAACGGCCGACTGGTCGTAGGTTGATGAGGTCAACAGCGGCGTTTATGTACAGGTGTTTACTTTAGGATTGTCCGCTCACAGCCAGGCCTCTATCCCCTCCACATGCATTCTTTTTCTTGGGATCCTGCCTTTGCTTCCCCTTTGTCGGGATGCCCGCTTCCATATAAGAAGTTATAACACTGCCAGATGGCACTGAGTTTCAGAAAGCGCCTATTAGAGTACAACTCGAAGCATTGCTTGCCATTGAGCAACTAATACAAACTTGCTCCTGATGCCCGCAGGCATTTCCCCGCCGGGACGGCTGGCCATTCCCGGAGTTCCGCGGCAGCTGCGGTCGGCTCGTCGTCGAAAGCTACGAGGGCACGCCCCTTTCTCAGTTCGAGCTGCTTGATTGGTCTGTGCGGGCTCACTTGGCCAATCGGCTGCTCGACTTGGCCCAGCTGCTGACTGAGAACCCAACCGAGTTTGCGCTGTACCTCACCGACGTCAGCATGGACAACTTTGCCGTGGATGCAATGGGCCAGGTGACTGTCGTCGACGCAGAAAACGTAATCGTCGTGGATCAACGAGAGGTCAGAGAGGGTGCGTATTTACGGGGCATTTGTTGAAGACAAGTTATACCGGACAAATTCAGACTGACCGGAACGAGTCCCATACCTCAAGAGTGCCGAGGTACTGTGCCGGTACCGATCAGCAAATAGAAGAAAGCATGATGCGCCACGACTCGATTGATTGGTCTAGTTCATTCATACCGAAAACTAGTGAAATAGTCCAAATTAAACATAGACGAAAAATGGGCATGCGTGTCTGTGTGTATGTAATTGTGCAGGAGGTGGTTTAACTTGCATACTTGCCAAGTCTCCCGTATTACGCAGGAGGTTCCCAAACTTGGCCCGCTTCGTACTGTTGTACGATTGACGGAAAAATCTCCAGGAAAATGCAAACTCCTCCTTTCCTGCCGTACGGCAATGATGGTAGCAAGGCCCAGCCGGATCTCGCTAGCATGAGTGGTGCAGTACAACTGTAATGAAGGTGCCTTCATGTAAATTCATTATAAATATTTAAAAAAAAAAAACGCAGCCCACCTTTTGCCTCCTCCCCCTCCCCCTTCGGCTCAGAAAACCTCCTGGATTCGGTTTTCTTCGAACTTGGCAGATATGATATTGTTTGGATTGTCTTTTCAGAAAAAATTAATTAGAAGTTAGAGCGTGTGCCTTTTTTTTTTCCGCTCGTCTCGTTTGTGTCACTAGTTTCAGACATGCTGCCCCTATTCATAGCGTAAAAAAAAGTGAAAGCCGTTTACAAATCCCTGTAACGCCGAATTGGAGCGCAGCTCTTGAGGAGGAGGAGTGAAGGGTACTGAGGGGAGGGTAGACCCCTCCCCCTTCTCCTCCTCCTCCCCTCATTCTTTAATATGCTCCGGGGGGGGGGGGTGTCACGTGACTTCGGGGAGGGGGTCACGTGACCTCGGGCAGGCGTGACCTGGGGGTGACCTCAAGGCCACGTGACCCCAAAGGTGACCCCCACGTGACCTTGGGGGTCACGTGACCTTGGGGAGGCGACCACGTGACCTCGGGGGTCACGTGACCTCAGAAGGGTCACGTGACTTGGGGGTCACGTGACCTTCAAAGGGTCACGTGGGGTCATCTTGGGGTCACGTGACCTTGAGATGACCTTGGAAGGGGTCACGTGACCTCGAGGGTCACGTGACCTTCAGGGGGTCACGTGGGGTCACGTGACCTTGAGATGACCTTGGGAGGGGTCACGTGACCTTGGGGGTCACGTGACCTTGGGATGACCTTGGTTACGCCGACGCCGACGGCGACGCCGCTCAAGCCGGGAACGGGCCCCTAAGAGCTGCGCTCTAAAAAAAAAAGAAATTATGACTCGCGATACTAAAAATGATTGGGTCTGTTCACAGTAGTCATCTGCCACCGCAAAGCATTTAAAGGTATAAGGTTGAAGGTTGCCCCTGCAACGTTTGTACACCGTAGCAATGAGGACCTCATTTCTGCCAAAACTGCATTTATACATTTTTTTTATGCGTGAGGATCAGGCTAGGCTAGAGCAAAACTGCGTTCACCGCTAAGCTGACACGACGGTGACACACTCGCCAGACCTATCGATTGCCTCACCCCACTATCTGCGCCAGTTGTCAACTCGAACTATCGCGTAGCTTGCTCTGCCTTGTCAGCCTGGCAGGGAACAAAGCCTATACTCCATCTAGCAGTAACTTGGCAAGTGGCAAAGGTTATGGTCCCAGGAAGCCAATCGGCGCGCAGGGAAAGGCGCACGACTACACTCTACCTCGCAAGTTGCGCGCAGCTCCGTCGAAGCCGCAGGCGGGAAACAGAGGAAATCCACTTTTGTACGAATTTTAAACAACAAGCTAATCTTCAGGGAGAAAAAAGTGACGTCCAGGCACGCAAAAGGGGGTGTCCGGACGAGGGGGCAGTTCCTCCTTCCCTGCCTCTTTGATCACTCAGGTTACGATCTTACGCCCGAACCTTTGTTAAGAGCACGGAGGTAGGGAGCTTCCGGAGGTGACACGAGGCCACCGGAGGTGAAGCCACAAGTGTGGAGGGACACGCCCCCGACGACGCCCGAAACCAAGAGACACTTTTAGACGAAAAGAAGAGCTGACTTGGCACCAAAACAGCTATTAGTACAAAATCAGCTCTCCTTTTCTTCCAATAGCGTCTCTTGGTCTTGGTCATCGCTTGAGGCGTGTCCTTCCACGCTTATGGCTTCGCGTCTGGTGGCCTCTTGTCACCTCTAGAAGGTTCCTACCTCCATGGTCGAAGGTCATCACGTGCCTCGCTTCCGCTGCTCCGATTGGCTCGAAGGGGTCGTAGCGTTCGCTCCTTCGTTACGGCGAAACGAAATATGGTACGTGTGCGTTCTCTCCAATAGGCCAGAAGCCGGGCTGGGACAAGCGGTACGAGCACCTGGAAGAGGCGTGCCACGACTGCCTGAGCTTCTCGTCGGAAGACCTGTGCTCGCACCAGCTGGCCGACCACAACTACTTTGCGGTGTGTAGCGGCCTGCTGGCCCCGAGGGCCTTTTACTCGTCCGTGGGAGGGCTGCTCCACTCGGTGCCGCCGGACGTGGAGAAGCAGCACGGCCTGTCGGCCCTGTTGGCCGCGTGCGACCGGCCCTCAGACCACGGTCGGACGCGCTTCGAAGCCGCCTCCGAGCTGCGCGAGGCGCTAGCTCTCGTGCTCGAGGAACGTCCCGCGTCGGCGTGGCCGAGCGTGCCCTGAGGTCTGCGGCGGTGTCTGGAAATGTGTGTCGGCGTTCTACGGTTGCCTGTAATCAGTGGCGTCCATTTTGTGCTACGTCGTCGAGGCTACCGTAGCTTCCGCGGCGCTGCAGCCCTGCACTGCCACAAGGACGCACTCGTATGCACGTATAGCTTCGACGGCGTTGGAGTATTGCGGAAGCTGTGCCAGTCACGACGACATAGCACAAAACAGATGGTGCCGAGTTTACAGATAATTTACTAGGGGACTACAGGAATCTCTTCCTTTGCATTAAACAGAACAATGGTTGTGCCATAAACTACCCCTGGTGGAATGGTTTATTTGGCGACACCTCTCTCCCTCGGCACCAAAACACGTGAAGGCGACGCCTCGGAATGCGGTTGACGGAGTCGCAGATGCGAAGACGGTACCGCTGCCGCTGTCAAGCTTGTTTCCGCACATCTTTGTTGTTGACTTTTCTTTTATGTATTCAGGGGGAGTGTCCTACATTCCCCTAGTAAAGTATTTGGGCACAGATAGGTATATGGGAGTGGCAAGGGTCTTTCCGTCGCCCTGCCTTCGGCACTAGCCCTTTGCATTTCGTGATCTCGACCGTGCGTGAAAGCTTGATGCCCACGCGACACCATAATATTGTTAGAGGTGGAAAAATATAAAGACCTTGTAAACTATTTGTGACCATATGAAGGAGTGATCACACCGTGCATCCTACCACTGCTCCCATCATTATCTGAATGAGGCTCTTCTTTGTGGCTACTATAATATTGTCGTAAAGGAGGAGGCTTTCAGACCCTACATCATTGTAGTGTTGGGGCTTTCTGCAGGAGGAAAGCATCTCACCTTTGTGGTTGAGTAGTTATGTGTGTTCAGAACAGTGTGTTCAGAACAGGGTATACGGGTATGTCACTATTGCATTTGATATGAATTGAAACAGTCCTTCATGCTTCTTGGGCACATCTACCACTTTGTAAGAGAGCTGTGGAGGGTCGAACTAGAAATTACATGCAGAGTTGACAAATTGGGAGATAATAGAGCTTGTGGGAACTGCAGATGCAGAAAAAGGCAGAATCTAGGGTTACCAATCGTCTTGGATTTTGCGGGACTGTGCAGACTTTTCATGAAGCATCCAGAGTCCCGCATCATCCCTGTTCGGACAGTTGTATGTTCCGAATTTGGTCCTTACAGACTTGCCTCTCATTTCCTTCTGCCATATGCTTCTCACATTACCTTCTCGTTTGAATTTTGCCTCAGGAACAATACTACCAAAAGAAGTTGACTTGTCAAACTGCTTGCCATACGCCTGTAAAAAAAAAATTGGGGTGTGTGTACGTTCATACAGCCTAGAACTTAGTCTGCCTCAACGGGCGACTTGTCTCCCAGCTGTAGATGAGAAATTTAGCCAGTCCAGTAAACGTGCAGCACGCAGTAGTGATACACGACTGCACGCCGGTATGAAGCTCATCCAGATCGAAACGGGCAAGGGTGGGGATTGAACCCAGGATCACTGGGTTCTGCAGCACAAGCTTTCACTCCACTGCTCTCAGCTGGTGTGCACTAACCCACTTGGCCAGCGATCCTCCTCATATGCCTGTATGCATGCAGGATCCAGTCTGTCCAGCACCACAGCTGGAACTCAAAAAGAATCGCACAGATTTGCTACAATCTCTCTACTGGACACCTTGCTACCACCAGACGAGTTAGTAAAACTTAGATCTGCCAAATGCTTTGGCACCACTGTTTCATTTGAATTTTGCCGAGGCAGTGGTACACCAAGACGCTTTGTCCGACTGCTTGTCAGATGCCTGTTTCGGTGCAAGATCCAGCCTCTCCAGCACCACGACAGGAACTTGTAAAGGGTCGCACAGATTTGCTACTATCTCGCCAATGGGTGCCTTGCTAGCTCCAGTCCAGTTAGTAGAACTTCCATGTGCCAAATTCTCCTGCATTACCATTTCATTTAATTTTTGTCGACAAGAGAAGATGCTTTGTCCGACTGCTTGTCGAACGTCTTTCTGGATGTAAGATCCAGTCTTTCCAGCACAACAACAGGAACTCGTAAAGAGTCGCACGCCAAAAAACGCGCGTCACGTTGAGAAACAAAAAGTTAGCACAAATCGCACGAAGCAATGCTGCGGTGGCTATCGTTGGCTGTGAGAGGCTTGAAAGGGATGGTGAACCGAAATTTGGATTTCAGAAAAAAATGCAGTAGATGTGGGCGGACGCTACAATCCCTACAACACTACTCGTAAGGCGATATCTCTAATGGACGGCCGTATTTTTGGGAAAAGAGGTAGAGATTGAACCAGGCCGACGAGGCGCGTGTGGACCTAGTTTCCTCCTCTCTTTGCTTCGCTCCCTCGAGGCGGCGAGGCGGAGAAGACGCGAGGCCGTTCCCTCTCCTTCTCAGAGAAACATGACATGAACATTTCTGTCAAATGTGCCTCTTTTTCTTAAAAAATATGGTCATCCGTTTGAGATATCGCTGTATAAAAGATGTTTTGGTGTTCGTAGCATCCCGTTGCACGCTTTTGCTGCGTGCTTTGGGGAATCCAGATTTCGGTTCAGCATCCCTTTAACTACTTGAGCACAAAAATCCATGGCAGGCCGGAAATCGGAGAGTCAGTGGTGCCGCTGGAGCCACAGCAAGCACCGCCTGTTACCCTCCTCCTCTTTCTCCTTTCCCCCCCCCCCCCCCCCCCCCCATCCCAACCTTCTTCAGTGGAGAGTTGGTAACCCTAGCTGGATCGGGCATTTCAGGCCATATTGATTATGATAGTATACGTGGAGTGCAGCATTCCTCATTCAGCAAGCACCGCAAGGCTAAAGGCCTTGCAGACAACACAAGTTGCACATGGCTTAGAGGTGGGCACTGGTTACTTTAGTAGTAGTAGTAGTTGAATCTACCTGGTTACTCTGAAATGATGCTTGGAGAACAGTTGAAATTGCTCCAATGTAGCAAGCTACTTGTTGGAGCTATGAGGGTTGCTCAAAAATAATGCCCCACATTTCGTTTCTCGACCAAAAATAAGGGCAGCAATGTGAAAATTTACAGGTTGCCACATTGATGTTTCCTGCATACGTGTAATTTCACTGCCATTGCATGAAGGAGGCTCTTGTAATAGTTTGTGAACATTGAGTCTGTGTCTAACATGCGCCGCAAGCAACGATCTGTAATCGAGTTTCTGGTGGCGGCAAAACGAACTGTGCGAAAAATTCATAACCATTTATGTGCCATGTATGGAAATTATACAAATCAATAAGAGCACGGTTGGATGCTGGGTGAAACGACTTAAACCTAAGGTGGAGAGAGAGAGTTGTGTGAGCAGTAGCAGTCGGAGTGTCCTGCCTCTGTCGTCAACCCAGACATGTTGCAGCACGCCGATGAATTTATTTGTGCAAATCGGTATATTGCAAGCCGACCATTGGTCCTAGAGCTTTCATTCAGCAAAGGAAGGGCATTGCCAATTATCAGCGTTATCGGCGTGTGCGGCATAAGAGGAATCGGAGACATTTTTTTTTCTCCAGCTTTACAATGCCCACCTCCACAAAAATGTCAAACTCGGGAGGCAATTTTCAACCTTTGTCTGCCTGTACGCTCCCGTTTCCCCAATTCCTGATTCGGCACAATCAGATTTGATCTCTTCGGGCCACTAAAGGATGCACTGCGCTAACCAACATGCGAAAACAACACTAGCATACCGTAGCACACCAAGAGATGCCCCATCATACCGTAGCACACCAAGAGATGCCCCATCCCCGAGAGATAACGCACACCTTTTTTTGGCTTGATTTACTATTTTCTTTTAAATACCGGAAGATAGCCCACTCCTAGTACTCAGTATTTGGATCAATGATGGTCTCGGCGTTAATGCGTCTAGTTAACTGTGGCGGGATACAAGCGAACATTCCTGACTGGGAAGTACAGTCATCTTTGCTTCATTGTCCCTTGCCAGGATAACAAGTTTGGCAGAAAAACATTATCTAAAAATAGTATTCTTTTTCAACTTTTCCTGATTGTACACCGAAAGTTAGCCCACTCCTTATTTTCACCCGATTTGCTCTCGATTTTACGTGGGCTATATTTCGGGATGTTAAGGTAATTTGTGGAGTGAGAACATGGCTACACGAGTAGAAAACGAGCTGGTACAGGAAAGGTGTACATGCCCTTGTTCCGCACTAGCATAAAACAAAACAAAAAAAAAACTGAGTAGGGATAATGTAAAAAGTAGCATGTATGTAATATTTGGTGCGATTTTCATATAATTTAAATAAACAATTTTCGGGGACAAAAATGTCGGACATTATTGTTCGAGCAACCCTGAAACATTTTTCGCACCTAGTTGGTTGCACATCCTAGTTCAATTCAATTGTCCTATATCCCTTCCTACCTTGGGGCACAGAACGCCGTCCGTGGGTTCGGACGAAGCTTCCGCCACATGAGGATGCGTGCAGCAGAAGCAACTCTGCATCTGCAGCTTTACATAACTAACACACTTCCCCTGTGCAACAGTTTGGAGAAACAGTGTGCACGACATGTGTGTTAGGCTCAACAGGGGAGACCGTAGTGCTTTGGCACCTTTCGTCAACTTTTATTAACTTATAACGTGATTTTCGAGTCGCTGTGAATCTCGCAACGAGCTTTGCACTCCAAAGAGTCGAGGTCTGTGAGCCCAAGCAACCTTGACTCCTCGTGGGGCCGCTACCTACCTTCATTGCATTAAGATTTCTTTCGCATTAGAAATGTTCCACATCTTCCCACACTGGTTATGACAACCGCCGCACACACCCTCATAAATCGAAGGACGAGCAACACTCCGGAGACAAGGCCACAATGCCGCAGTTTGTCGGACACTAAAATCGCTGGATCCCCACGGACTACCGCGCGGCTTTTTTGTACAAGCTCGCGTACACGTTCGTATACTCAGTAGTGAAAGCTAGGAACTAAAACTCCAACGTCGTCGAAGCGAACTATCAAAACTAAATCTGTTTTCGATAAAAAGGAGAAAGCTCCTAGGTAGGATAAAAATAAGTGAGACTCTTTCGTATTTACACGTAATCGGACATTGGCGTACAATGCTTCGTGGCTTGGTCTAGCTTGGCTAGCATCAACATAGCCGCGAAATTAAGAAGTCAGATTTGTTGTACACAGAAATTTCGACAGCAGGAAGCGAGTCGGCCATTAAAAACGACATTTGGGATCTTTGCTGTAGATGGTTAATTTGACCAGTGCGGTATAGCTGCCAATCAAGTCTTTAATTTAATGTGCACCGCGATGTAATAATCCCACGACTGCGCGCCCGTACGATGACTATCTAAGGGCCACTAAACAAGTTACGCTTTGGAGTGACAACACCTTGGTTATATTAGTCCATAGAATCAATAATTGCCAGTCGTCACCAGCTTTTGCCAACGTGCTTCACAAATGATGATCTAACACCGTGAGGTACAACGCCTCACGTGATGACCTAACGTGACTATCGAATGCCGTACGTAATGTTAAAAAGTCACATTTTAAAACAATAACTGTCGCGGGCGGCTCTATACACCAAAATGGCGGCGGCCATGACCCGCTGGCACTTGAACAGATGTCGTACAATGCGAATGGACGAACAAACATTGTGCCGGCGTCGGGCAGGGGGTGAAAAAAGTGCCAATACTTCGAGCACATTTTTCTAGCAACTCTAGTCCATCCGAATTGAAAATGGCAGCACCGCAGCGAGCCAATCGGTGAATTCTATCCACATTCTCGGCGGCCACGACGGAACACGGTGTTCTGAGAGCGCGCTGCGACTCTATCGGGCGTTGGCGACGGGCCTGGCAGCGTGGCTGCAACGGCCATCGGACGTTCAGGCTTCTGAGATGACCAACGACTGGTCGCAGGCTCCGAGCAGCAGGTGCTGTCGCAGCAAGGCCTCCAGACGATGTCTTGCTTGCCGCTCCTCGTCTAATGCCCTTGTCAGCTGGCTCGTTTCCTGCGTGTGAACGTCGACAATGTACCGCATTTTCGGACTGTAGTCTGTGGACTATACGTGTTTAAATTTTACGCGGTGCGTTCCATACAAGGAATCGTTTTTTCTGGATCGCTCATTACAACGAGACGTGGCATATTTTATGATTGAGAGAGTTTGCTCATTTTGATTTATACGTGATACAAGCTTCTTTGCGAGCTAATAAAGCGTGCATTTGTCGAAGACTGTCTTGTATGAGAAGTTTTTAAGTGTGGACTGGGCACCAAGTGCGGACTATGCACTGAGCGTGAACTACCTACCGTGAAATTCCGAGAGATGCCCCAACCCCGAAAGATAGCCCACCCCTATTTTTGGCTTGAATTGCTATTTTTTTTTAAACACTGAAAGATACCCGACTTTTAGTAATAGTAGTATTGGAGTCAATGATGACCTCGGCGTAAATGCGGCTAGTTAGCTATGGCGGAATATAAGCGAACGTTGCTAGCTGGGAAGTAGTCATCTTTGCTTCGTTGCCCCTCGCCACCACAACAAGCTTGAAAGGAACACGACCTAAAAATAGTAATGTTTTAAAATTTTCTTAATTGTACACCGAAAGTTAGGCCACTCCTTATTTTCACCTGATTTGCTCTTGATGTTAGGTGGGCTATCTCTCGGGATTTTACGGTAAGCAAAAACATTTTTTTTTTTCGACTGACATTTGTTTTTGGAGATTACGGACCATTCTACTAAGGCGAGAGGAAGGAAAAAAATTAGCTTCAGTGTTTGGGCTGTTCCGGCAGCACAGCCCAGCCCGGAACTGCCCAAACAATGAAAATGGTGCGTGTCCTTTCCCTCTTCCACCCCACCGAATTGGCTGAAATGCCCTTGGAGGACAGCCAGTTTGTCGTCTGCCATCGGGACCGCGCGTGGGGCCTTTCCTTCTTTTACCCCGACGATTCCGTTCAACTGCCCAGATGTATGTAGATGGCGCTGCAGTCAAACAAAATGGTGCTGCCCAGAGAGCTCTTAGTGAAATGGTCTTGTGGTGCAGACTATAGCATCATTAAGTTAACTTAGGCACTAAAAGTATATATTTTTACTTTTATATTGTGTAAATATTGGTAATCATTCGATAAAATAGTATCAAAAATCTACTTCACCAAATTTTGTTTTTCCCAAAATTTAGCATCGTTGAATTTCGGTTGATATTGTTCAAGCCATTCGATGTCGAACCCCAGGTTTGTCAAAAAGTTTGTGGCATCCCCAGTCACTACAATGTGGGTACGACCAATAGAGCCACTCACGTTTCTTAGTTCTTTGACCTGATCCCTGAGGGCATAGACTGTGTCCACGAGACTCCTGAAAATGAAGGAGACCGACCAATGTTAGTGTTATATGATCTGCTCAACGGCCATTGCTCCATCCAGCCACGCAATACAAGCAGCTTAAACGTAAGCTCTCCTTTTGATGGTGTATCTAGAATGGACGGCGGAGTAGACCCAAAACTGACCGAAAGTGGACCTAAAATGAAGATCTCAGAAAAACGGGGAGTGAAAAATAAGTATCGCCTACTTTCCTTGAATCGCGCTCCATCGTCTTCTCTCACAGGAGATGCGAAAGAAAGCCAAAACCCAATTTTTAGTCTGCATCTCTTTGGAAAGAAACAATTCTTTTGTTTTAGGGGCGAAGCTCCTTAGGGTCTAGCCTTGTCCGTTTGGCGTCCGTGCTCACATCGATTGCCATCCCATCTGTCTTAAAAAAAGAAAAAATGCTTGCGCAGTCGATAGGATTCGAACCTGTGCGAGGAAACCCCAATGGATTTCTAGTCCATCGCCTTAACCAGTCGGCCACGACTGCGAGACGAGTAGGGGGCTCCGAGATGTGGTAGTAACTCAAGAGCTGGGGATGTCATGGATGAAACGTTGCATGTAGCCGCTCAACGTCTATACAGAAGAGGGCGCTGCACTCAAATGCGTATATAATTGCGTTAAACTTTGCATGCATTGGTTCAACGTTCATAGACGAGAGGGCGCTGCGGTCAAATGCGTATATAACCACGTTCCACACCACGCATTCTATACCAACGCAACCTGGAACTCGGCACTACCTATGAGCATTGCAATAAAAAAAAAATCAGCACAATCAGCACTACCTATGAACAAAATCAGTATCATTAGCACCACCACAGCTTCGTCCCAATCAACATCATTCACCACGTGGAGATGCGGTCATTTTTTTAATCATCTTTTTGCTTAGAAATGGAGGCGGTCCCGTTGCAGAGGTGGGTATTGAATCTTAACACTGCAGAATGTAAACTAAAACCTAGCGCCACCAATAGGATGTTTCCGCATTCCTTTCTTCTTGCTGGTGTGGGGTGCAGAGCGTGTCTCAGAGTGGAGATGTGTCTCTCGTTGCGTGGAGTGCCGCTAGCTCGTGCTTGGGCAAAAGTATGAACGACGGGCACACCCATCGGGGTGCAACACCAACAAGAGCTAAGAACCAGCATCAAAAGACACCGGAGTATATACGTGGCAAAAGTGTACAAAAAAATCGTTCAGCCTTTCCACTGTCGTGAAGAAGAAAGACCAGCGAAGCTGTACTCGATACACTGTGTGCTTCTTCTTCGTCGTCGTCTGTTTTTCGCACTGTTTCCTACGATGAATTCCCACCAACGTGCCCAACTATCCATTCTTCTATTATAATTGGAAAGGTTGGCGCCATCTGCGAGCAACGGCGGAAACCATACTCGTTGTGTGCTTGCCGCCGTCGCTTATAGATGGCGGTAGCTGTCCAGGCAGGCTTGTGTCAACAGACCGGACACGATCCTGGGGAACCTAGCCCTCAACAGCTCCGCTGTAAAACTACCCTTCTTTATGGTGCCATCCCACATGACGAGATGTCGGGTCATGTTGCAGTAACGACGTCACCATGTCGTGCGATGTCATGGCATCATGCGACGACTATCACGCCGACAGCTTCGTGCAAACACTGCGACATCATTTTGTTTGCGCAATGACATCGCAACGCACCAATTAACATACCGACGAAGTCGCGCGAACGTAGTGAAGTCGTCGACATGATGTCACTATCGAGGTCACGCCCCACAGGCACAAAAGCGCCAAGATATGGTCCCATAAATTCCATGAATTTAAAAGAAACCGAGCGTTAAAACGTCGAAACCCCGTCAGTTCACAAAAAAACGCGGGTGCAACGATGCCCTCCCCCCCCCCCCCCCCCCCCCCCCCCCCGCTCGGAAAAGTAGGGGAAAAAAAAAAAAAACGCTGACTCGCCTCTCCTCCAGGACAGGCATTTTTCCCCGGGTGTCTTCCACGATGATCTTCTCGTCTTCTGCCACGATCACCTGTGGGCAGTCCAGGAGGGCTGCGGCCGGGGACACATGCAAGGAAGGTGGGCACCTTGAGGCTCTCGCTCCGAGAGAAGCCCCGAAGTACGGCGGTGGGAATGTGACTTTGACCGGCGCGTCTACCGCTTCGTCCCTCCTATGCATCGAAAGTGGTCCCAAAGCGGCACAGACAACATCGCAGAAGCCAACGTGTCATGCTGTCGGATGTCACTTCCCCGGCAGTTGGTCGTAAAGATGCCATTGTTGCGGCGTTTCATCTTTCTGTCTGCTTTGGTGTCTGCCGACTGTACGGTGGCAGAGCGACCGATGGCAGAACGTGCGTCTGCCGCGCGCACCTCAGTTGTCGTCGGGCGGAAATTGAGGGACCGCTTTCGAGGACGCGGCGAACGCGGCGTTCGGAGACACGCTTTATTCTCGAAGGCACTCACCCGAGTTCACCGTGTGCCTGGTGCGAGTGGTGCTGTAGCAGTAGGCCTCGATCACCTGGAGCAGCTGCATGTCTTCCACGTGGGGCGCCCCGTCCCCCTGGGGACCTGGACGTCGAATGCGGTACCGCACCTTGTTAAAGCCGAATTGCCAAGCGTCAAGGACAGTTTCGCAAGTGGGTATTAGAGCGCTAGCGTCTGCGTCGCAGTCGCTCGTAACCAGTTGCGAGAAGAGAATGCGCTGAAATGATTTATTGGGTAGCCCCGGAATGCCTCCAATGCGGAGCGCAAGTTCATCCGCCTCTTAAGCAGGAATTGCATTGATCTCAGAACGACGAGCTCCGATTGGCTCTGATGGAGGGATACTGGGTAGATTGGAGCTCAGCGTTCTGACGTCATCACAACCTCTGCTCAAGTCAATTTTACGAGTTGGTTTCTACGAAAAAATGTTCGCAAACGAGGGACCCAGCAAGCGTTGTGACCGAGTGACACGCCGGGAGCGTTATAGTTTATATACAAAGTTGGAGACGCCCCGGGGCTCGAACCTAAGTTGGTGCAGTGGGAGTCGGTTACTAGAGCCAACAAGCTGTACAGCGCGGCTGTTTTGGCAGGGTAAATGATTTTATTTGAATACAAATGTGCCGACGAGAGCCTAAGGTTTTGGATAAAAATAAGGAAATAATAAATGAAAATAAGAATAAAACAATGAAAACATGAATAAAGATAGATAAAAATAAAATGTAATGAATAAATTAAATAAAAACAATTATTATAAATAAAAAAAAATAGACAATAAAAAGAACGAAAAATGCAGCCCAAACGACTTGGAGTATGGTTTTTGTGGGACGCACTCTGTGCTCCAGGCCTTTGTCGGACGTATCGAGCCTGTATCGTTTTTTTTCACTGCGACCTCAAAATAATTCTGGCAACGTTAAAAAAAAAAAAAAACTTTTTGCAGATGGTGCGTAAGTTTGCGTATGACTACACCATCGGTCTAGTCATACGCAAATCGGAAGTACTATGGAGGTACCTTGCAGACGGTGGCAGCGATCACACTCAAATGTGTGCACGTAAACCAGCCTTCGCATTACCTAAGTGAATGCAACTCGAGGGTGGACAAACAATGGCCTGTGATGGCATCAATTTGACCTGCCGACTGCTCAACACCCACACTGTCGTTTCGCTTGTGTTTGGGTGACATTTGGTAGAGGCATTTAAACTACCAATGAGCAAACTTTTACCAAATAAAACATTTAGCATTGCTACATCCATGTGTGATCTCTGCAAAATGAAGGCGCCATAAAAAAGAGGCGAATGTAGTAATACGACATAAGCGAAAAGTAGGGATGTCGAAAATACAAACCTCATTTTCCAACAGCCAAAAACAACTGCCAGTACGAGGCTTTCTGCACTACACTGCTGACAACGAGAAGTGTAGTTTAAAAAAAAAAAACTTGAGGGTTCATTAAACTTAATTTTCTATAACCGGACAGCTCCTTGGGGCAGGTGGCCAAAAAGTGTAACTAAAATATTTATGTTAGCGAAAGAGCTGTCACCTAAAGTCAAGCGCAAAGTATACTACAAGTAGGTTACTTCATGTTATACACATCTGTATAACATGTGTGTTGCTCACCGTAGAACACGGATTAATGTAAGCCAAATATCAGAATCAATAACTGGTGTGAGAAATGGACACTGGAAATCAAGAAGACTGTTTGGTAGTTTTATGCCTCATAATACCGAAGTAATTTGTAAATACAAGACCTTGGTTACAGTTTATTTCTAAAGATGTGCAGTCAAAAAGTTTAACCAGAGGAGAAGCTTTGCATTTAACATCACTTACACTGCTATTGAACTTCTGCAGCGGATCCTCGGGTGTGTTGTGCGAAGGGTCTTGGTGTGGGAATGCACAAAGCATTTTTCCACTAAACTTGGTAGAGGAATTTTTCCTCTAAACTTAACGGAAACATTCCTCTGCTAAGTTCATGTAGTATACACCAGTGTTGGCTTCCAAGCAACATGTTTTTCAGTTAAATGCACTAAACTTTCATTACACGGGTCAGAAATTGACAATCTGTCGGCGCATCACAGGTAGAAGCACATGGAGCACACCACTGATCTCTATTGTAGTAGGCTGGATCACGGATCGGGAGGCCGTCGGTGTCGCCGCTGGCGGCCATTGCTTAACACCAGGCAATACACGCAAGTCTATGGGAAAGTATGCAAGTCTATGGCACAAAAGTAAGAATATTGAAGCATATACGCTGTTCTCGGAGGCGAGTATTTTATGGTGCGCTGCAATCCTTATGCCGGGTGTTTGGAGGTCGAATCGATATTTGTCAAACGTTCGAACGGCGGTTAAAAAAATTGGACGTACCGGAGCACCTACGGCTGAGCTGGCAAAGTTGCTCTTGTAGTGAAGTAAACAAAAGAATTTGCCGTCAATAAGACCGTCCTCGGGGAAGCCTAGAAGTTGATGAATGTTGAAAAAGTTCCACATTGACAGCGGTTTTCCGGGGGCGAGCAAATTCCGCGTAGCAAAACTTGTCGTCTGCTAAACCAAACTTGTCAAAACCACCACCGACTCCGCAGTAACCCTAGGTAACTCTCGTCTCATTGAGCTGCACTACATTTCTCGCCCAGCGGAGTCACTCTTGACCACAAAACACTTATTTATAAGAACTGTGAAGGCTGTCAGTTTTAATGTTTGTGTAGATGCTATTTGACAGGCTTCTCGAAAAGCAGCCAAAAAGTTTCAGAGGTGACAACAGCTTAAAAATGGGGGAAACGGCACTTTTTCTTGTTTTTCCCATAGAGTCCCATGCATTTGGTGGTGTCAATCAATGGCCGCCGGTGGCGACACTTGGCCCCAGCTGCCGAGGCCGCGATTCGCGATCCAACCTACTACAATAGAAATCAGTGGAGCAAACCCTCACTGCAGGACCCAATGAATACTTCCTGCCCCTGCTTGCCTCTGTCTGGATGAGCATTGTACCAGCATGCAACAGTGTAATCGCCACTTCGTAGTACATGTTAAAGACTCCAGGCTAACAGTCGTGCAGAACATCTACAGTGCAGACCCAGACACCCACCAAAAAGTTTTTTAAGTACAGGGACATGACAGCTAGGTCACAAAATAAAATTTTTCCAAATAAAGAAAACCGTTTTTGCACAATATTTGCATTGCAAAACTCATCTTGAGTTTTGCTTCTGTTTTGAGATGTCAACCTTGAAATACAGTCAAACGCCTCTACTACGAAAACGGTCGTCCAACGATGTAAAATAAACGTCTTGGCCAATCTCCTACGTGTTCAATATGTTTCTCTGACCACAACGAATTCCTGTTAAACGAAGCAATCGTGCGGCCAAACAAAGCAAAAGTAACCGTCATTATGCATTTTCTGAGTGAGAAGCAATCGATTTCACGTAAACTGTCGCTCTCAAGTGACATACGTGGAGAACAGAAATGCTGCGGCAGAAGCGACAATTCATACCGCGGCGGTGCCACCTGCTCCATTGTCGTGCCGCTGCTGCCGCGCAGCGCGTTCTTGGTTTAGGGCTTTTGTTAGAGTACAACCCTTGTGTCTAAATGGAGCTACATGATTACGTTGATGCTTGCAGAGCCTAGATAGAAGACAGGGTTCATCTCAAACTGTGGGGAGCATTTGCGTTTTATGGCGGACACCTCCCGCGCCGATTGATTGCAAGTGTGCATGCGCTGCCTTTATTGCGTCACGAGGAGGAAAGCAGACAGAAATGCGGACTTGGGCGGACGCGCTCGCTCGACCGAGCAGTTGGAAATTTTCTGTAATGCAGGCTGTCTATGGCTGCAAAATGCACACGCACGCTGGTGCGCATTTTCGTTTCGCATGCGTTGTTGAGTTTGCGCCACCCCGCTCCAAGACGAGTTGGCACCATCTTCCCAACCCGAAGCGCGAAAAAGATTGTGGTGTGAGGCCGGTAAAGCGGCTACAGTTTTCGCTGGCAGACAGATTGGCCATCATACAGAAAGAAACGCACCCTCCTCTTTGTGCCGGACAGAGGTGAAGAAGAGCTCAGTCGGCTCAGTTGTGCGACTCTCCCCATCTTCGCTCCTCGCTGCGCCTCGCGCTGCAGCTGTCGCATACCGAGTGCATGGCCGACTGTACTGCAGAGTTCTGCAGCCGCTTCAAGAGCCTGACTGGCGTAGTGAGCTGCCGCCCTATTTATAAAAGGCCTAATATACGCAGTTGGCAAACGCCTCTCGTTTGCTGCATGATCGGGGGTTGAAATCAGCTGTTTAGTGATTTTGAAAAGTCGGTTAAGTTTGTTGTGTGGAAGTTTGAACAGCGGGAAATTAGTCTGCAGCAAAGAGCACCGGGTGTCTCGGCTGTAGATGACAAATTTTGCCATTGGCAGTACTGGCAGTATGACCACTAGCCTGGTTGCTTTAAACTGTGCCACGAAGTGGTGAGCACACGAACGCAAGCCAGTACAATTTTCGTTTAGAGAAAAAGGAGCGGTAATCGAGCCAAAGATGCCTGGTTTCTCCAGTGCAAGCTTTTGCCCCACCCTTGCGTGCTCCGAGCTGAGACACGCTAGCGGACTCAACCACTGTTCCCCTTTTCGAAAATGTACAAAACCTCGTTCACGACAATGTACAAAACCTCGTTCACGACGTCGCTCATACCATATCTGGCACTATACTATATCCTAATACCACTCGAGCGTTGAGGAGGTACGTCAATATCTGACAGCACAAATTCAGTTTCGCACAATAAATTTTTAGCACTCAACTACCACAACGAAGTCACCCATACTACGAAAAATTTCGCTGGTCCTGCGAACTTCGTATAAAGGCGACGAACTGTAGAAGAGCATTCCTGAATCGCTCAAATAAGTATTGCAACATAGATAAAGTTCTAAAAAAAAATTCAGAGGGTTTGGGGTTTCTAGAGAGACTAAAATCCAATAGTCTAAACCAGTGGTTCTCAACCATCAATGTTTTGCAGACCCCTCGTAGATAGGCGGACACGATGGAAGACCCCATGCGGGGTGAGGGGAACAGAAAGGTGTAGGTTAATTGTGATAATAATTTAATAAATAAATATAACTTATTGCTAGTGTAAAGCAGACTTATCTCACTGATGTTCAGTGGAATCTCGTTAATGCAAACCCTCTTAATTCGAACTTGCGGATATTTCAAACTAACATGCAGGTCCCATCCTACGCATCTTTATGGGAGGAAACTCCCCGTAATTCAAACTTTGCTTTATTCAAACAAATTTTTGGTCCCTTACGAATTTGAATTAACGAGATTTGACTGTACACACAAGAAAGAACTCACCCGAACATTGGAAAGTTTCTTCTCAATGCGAAAAAAGACAACTTATATTGCCGGGCTTGACCAATGAGACAGGGCTTCGCAGACCCCTAGAATGCCTTTGCGGACCCTTTGACCCCCCATTTGAGAACGACTGGTCTAAACCTTCATATAACCGGTTGTGAGTTTTATTTACATCCATTTCATCTTAGCAAATGAACACTGGTCTAGTTCTCACTCAAAGGAAAGAAAAGCGAAATTACCGAGCACTGGAAGTCCTCGTTTTAAACAATAAAATCGCCAACAAGGCGAGGACGGCAGGGAGGAGCTTCGGTCGTCCCGCCTCCAGCAAGAACTCCCAACCTTCGACGATGCTTCGGCGCCTCGCGCACCCAAAGCACAAGGGAAGGCATACGGACAGCATGCTGGGGGCCGCGCATTCGAAAGACGCGCCCTGCCGTTCTCGCTCTGTCGGTGGCTAGAAAGAAGAGAATGGAGGAAGGCAGGACCTTGCGAAGCACGAGGCACGCCCGGCCTCCGCTGCCTCTGCCTGCGCAGCACCACGTGGGGGCGTGTCTTGGAGGGTGGGCACGGCCGCAGGGGTGGGTGTGGCCTCAGGCACCACACCGGGCCGGGCGCCGGGGGTGCCGACGGGACGCTCTCGGAGGCCGGGGGCTGCGAGTGCTCGTTCAATTTATTCGCGAGCTTCGTACCGTAGCGAGAGAAGGCTCTGCCAATGTTTCCGAGCAAACCGAATAAAAAAAGGTGCGATAGCTTCTAAGAAACTTAAAATCGACGCTCGATCGGAAAAGCTTCTCGCCTGTCAGAGAAAGTTTGCTGCTAACATGCGGGGCGTTCCTAGCACCATTTGGCTGTAAAGGAGCTGCATGAATTGGCTGACTAATGAACTGCGACGAAACTTTTCCTGAGGGTGTCTTTAGGTGGCGCGTTTATCGCGCCAAAATTTCGCGGACACAGGGCTCCCTAAAAAATGCGAGAAAAGAAAACTGTTCTTATGCAACTGTCTGGTTGAATTAAGACTTTGGTTCGACCTAGTTGGTCCCCGTCCGCTGAAAAGGCTTTAAAAGTGCAAAAAAAGCAAAGACAAGGAAGGACCTCGTACAACACGGACGAACGCTATTCGCGTTGCACATGTCCATTCTTCGTCTTCGTGATTTTTTGCGCTTTTAAACCTTTCCAGTGTCTGGCGCCACATCTGCTCGGTCTGCTGGATCCGCTTTAGGGCGTTCGTCTCACATAAGCTTCCAAGTTTTTGTTTCATGTGGTGCCATCTGTGAGCAGCAGTGCCAACCAGATGGTTTGTTTCTGTTCTTCTCCCGGCGCTTAAGAAATAACGCATTTTTCTTTCTTTTTTTTTCTTTTTAGTTATTTCTCTCAGAAACCTGTACTTGCGAATTTCGAGTGTGATAAACGCGGCACTCAGATGCCTTCGTGCAAAGTTTCGTCGCACTGTATTTATGGGCGCACTCACATGGCTTTTTTTGCAACAAAAAAGCGCTCGAGAACACTCTCTAGGCGTTAGTTGAAACTGAAAATGCATGCAGCATAGTACGAAGCTTTTGCTTAGTGCAGGTTTTAAAGGCCAGCGCAAAACTCGTTTTCTGCGAGGCAGGAGCTCCACTGAGCTTCATTTTTCCCTAAATGAAGAGAATAACCGGGAAGGAAAAGAAAGGGCTCAAACGGGAGGACGCTTTGCAGCTTCTCTGCTCGGCGACGGCGAGACCAAACTCTTCGGGGAGGAAGGGTGAACAAGGGAGATGATGTGGGAGAGGAGGGAGTCACACAAAAGGGAGAATGCACCAACTGTAATCCGGTGAAGCTCGGTTACAACTAAAGAAGTCGCAAGCCTGCCACAGTTTGACTTTAACCCAGTCTGACTTTCTCTAACTTTAAGCTCGAAGCTCGACAGAAGTTTCATTATTACTCGCAAGCACACAGAATGAAAATGAGCCAGCACCGCCTGGCAGAGGAGTATTGCAGCTTTTAAAAAACTAGCTAAATCATTCAAGTTTTGTGCATTTCCATTTCAATCGTGCAAACATTTGTAATCATTCTTCAAAAACTTAAAACCGGGTATTGTAAAAATAAAAATCTTCCTAAAATTTTAAATTTTATGTTTAAATTGGGCGGCACTCTTCACAAACTTTCACTTCTTCGAATTTCGTAACAAGCTCGAAGGCTCGCTGAACCAGTCTGACCTCCGATTTGACAAAAGTCTGCAATATCCCCATAGTTTGTTGCAGGTTAACAACAGCGAGACAAGCCCCAGCCACAAAGCTCTCCGCTCGCCATAAACCTCCTCTCCAGCGTTTCTTCTGCCAAAGTGGGAAGAGTGGGGGGACTGTGGGCGGATCTTGTCCCACTTCTTTTAAGTTGCAGACTTTAATTCCAGCCATGTGGCCTGGACGAAATGAAAGAAAGTAACGTCTTCAACGTACCCTGATGCGATCCTCTATTGGAGGTCGGACGACGTCCACCCTGGGGACGGGAGCCACGAGCGGCGTCGGGTGAGCCGGCGTCAGGTGAGCAGCGGTCGGGTGAACAGCCGTCGGGTGAACAGCCGTCGGGTGAGCAACCGTCGGGTGAGCAGCCGTCGGGTGAGCAGCCGTCGGGTGAGCAGCCGTCGGGTGAGCAGCCGTCGGGTGAGCAGGCACGGGTGTCAGCGCCCTCCGAGTGGGACTGGGCGCAGGTGGGGCTGGCCCTGGGGGGCCGAGCTTGGCCTTCCATTGCGACGCCTCCTCCGCGCTGCGGCACAGCACCGTGGTCCGAGACAGCGTGGGACCTTGGAAGATGGACGACGCGAACGTTTCACTGTGCACCGCATTTTTCGAACTACGCTCCGCACCCGGACTATAGACTAACGCGCAGCTCCGACGTCTGCCGAAGCGTCTCGGTTCGGACATTCGCCAAGACGCTTCGTCTCCCGCGAATCCGGTGTTTGTGCAAGCACACTGCCCACATCTGGTGTGAACAAACAGGGGCTTGTTTGTAAACAACTCGCTGGCCTATAATCGGAAAAATCAAATTTCAGTTGAAAAAAACTAGTTTTTTCTTGGATAGTTTTCACCTGCTGCATAGTCAGCACTTGGCACATAGTTTGCAGCTGACGCTAACTTCAGCCTCAGCCTTCGAGGCACGCGATACTGTGTTGGTGTTGCCACGTCCTCTTCATGTTTCATTTCCACTTTTCATTTCTTGCGGCACAGATTTTTGGCAGCCAGCCAACTCTCTCCGACCGTGGCAGGCTTCACTTTTCAAGGCTAAATCAAAGTTAGCTTCAGTACAAATGAAATTCTGCATTAAAAGTATATCGGCAAAAAGTGTGCAGGGCCTCACCCTGGATATCAAAGGCACAACCCTCGGCTGGATCTTGAGCCGGAGCCAAGACAAGCCCAGGTACGGGAAAGTGGCCCTGCGAAAAATATGACCAATGACCGTTATTGGAGATGACGGCACACAATTTGTAAGTATCCAGAATCATTGTGTCCCCCTATGACATTTATCATAAAAAAACGGGAACCACTTCTGTGCTCCCACACTTAGTACCTCTCTTATGCAGTGAGTGAAACATAAAAATATCTCTTAGACAAACTGTTCTGCCCTTAACTGCGCAAATAATTCCGAAAATTGTTTATTAAGAGCAATCTTTCTCAGTTCCTCAAAGAAGAAAAAAATATCTATTTCCTCAACCTCAACAGTGCCCGAACAGTCGTCCATAGTTTCTAGAGAATGCTGGCACACGGGAGCTCCAGTACTGGGGGCACGGTCGACTAACCCATCTTACTCTAAAAATGAAAATTAAAAACACAAATGCAATCACTAGTGAAAACTAAAAAAAACGGTTGGCAGCTCATGTAGGCCAGTTGGACTACTTGATATGCGAGTGAGTGAAGAGCCATAAAAAATAATAAAAAGTCACTGATCACCCTCATGAACGTTATCCCGCGGTAGTTTCTGGTCCATCAAACACACAAGCACTTTGTAGAAGCATATTCCAGCACTACCAATCTCGAGCGGAGATAAACAACAAAAATATAGCAGTCCTGCGTAGAGTCACAGCGATAGCTGCAACAAGTCACAGTGAAGTCGTTGGATATCGGCGTCGTGTTCGAGTGCCGCGGTGTGCGTGAACAAAAACGTTTGGAACAGAACAGACATCCGACTATTTTGTTCTGAATGCTTGTTTCTTTTTTTGTTCTGAAGTGCGTGAAAGCACATCTCCCAGCATAAGTTCTTGGCATTGACAGTGCTACAATAACATTTTACTACCATTTTTTTTTTTTTTTTTTTCAGACAGTGCGTGCAATTGGCACCGAGTACCACAAATAAAATTATGAGCCGTTTCACTCCCTGAAGGTGGATGACCAGCAATGCTGTTTAGCCCACAACACAGACCCACCCCAAGGAGCCAGAGGAAACTAGACACGCACGACGGGACCGCCACCTTGAGAAAGTGGAAGGAAAGGAAACTAGGCATGCAAGCGCTTGGAACGAAGACAAAGGGAGGGCGGTGCGAGCGTAGACATGGCCGACGCGGGTCGCACAGCGGCAAATCTTTGAGAAACCTTCGTTATTTACCTGAGTCTACTGATCTTGAAAATGGTGCCTATTGATAACTAATCTACTGAATAGGCCTATTACTAAACTACCCAAGCATCAAGGAAAACTCGAAAAATAGTGTTCCACTTGCCGCATGTGCCAACGTCTGCAGCAGTAGCTGTTCTAAAGCAAAAGCCTAAAACAAATGGCATCTTGCACAAACGTTTGTCCAAGCTTTGTTTTTGTTATTTTACTTTGAATCTTTTATACGGGGAAGGCGTGCGCGTGCGGCACATGCAGCGGTGCGGGCGTAGAGTTTTTAGTCACTGCACACAATAGATCCACGGAACCCTAGCCATAAACCACTTCGCTGTAAAACGGAGTGTTACCATAGAGCTACGCTGTGGCGTAGCTCTATGGTAACACTCCGCTTTGCACGTCGCGGACCCAGGTTCGATTCCTGTCGCTGATCTTCTTCGAGGATTCGAAAACATGGACAACGGACACCCTGCTGTGCCAACTACAACAGCAACAACGGACAACGTTTCCGGTGCTGGAAAGAACACACAAGAGCTACCGCTGTAAAAAGTGGTGCAGTGTTCCTGCATTCACTGAATCACATAAGAACGTACAGGGGGCAACGCTAAATGCGGGCAGGTTTTTGAACGCCAAGGTATGAAACTTTTAGGCCGGAACAAGATCGAGTAAATGCAGGCATATCCAAAAGTAAAAGGAGCGGGTGGCACGTCGGCACACAACATAACGTTGACACGACCGTGGGCCGACAAGGGTCTCAGCGGGGTCGGCGAACAAAATATGACCGAAGACCATTCTACTCAGGTTATGATAATGAACAATCCCGCAAAAAAACCCGAATCGGCCGGCGCTCTCCCGATACAACGTACGCCATCTGTCGGCAACACTTCCCACTACGAGTGCATCGTCTACAAAGTGGCGGTGCAGATTGCCTAAAACAGGTTTCTGCTTTTTGTCTTTTGAATGAGGCAAGTTCATTCCTCGATTTTTTTTCACCCTAAGCTTTCACCCCCTGCTTGCATCTTTGTACAGTGCAACCTACTTATAACGATATGAGAAAACCCAAAGTTTAAATCGTTATAACCGATTATCGTTGTCTCTGGACTAGAAACTGATTATTTCCAGTCTAGAAACTCTAGAAACTGATCTTTATAAGCGGTACATCGTTATATGTGGTATCGTTATAAGTGGGTTTCACTGTAGTAGGTCGCCGCGCGATACCGTCGAGGAGAGGCCCATTTTTCTGGGCCGTCTAAAGTGCCTTGGAGGCGCTAGTTTACACGCCGTAGAGCGACGCCGGACGAGACTTTCGGATGCCATGTTACAAGACCTTTACTCCAGAGCGAGGTCGAGTTAATTTTCGGAGCACGGTAAGAGGGGTCGGCATCCCGCAACCCGAGGTATTGATGCTCGTAGCCAGTCACGACGGGGTACCACGGCACGCACCTGATAGGAGAAGCGTCCGTTGGCCAGAGAGAGCTGGACCAGGCAGGAGTGGAAGAGGGCCAGGTAACGGTCTCTGCGGTCGTCGCCCGACACGAGTATTACGGGACCCACGTGCTGCAGTTCTCCCAGCGACTGTAGCTCCTGCGTAAGGAACGATGCACTTGAAACGGCCCTTCCGGAGCAGCCACGAGTGACACACGCGTCCAGGAAATTGATGCAACAGATGGTTTGCTCGGAAGCAAGAGCGGACCCCACCTGCATCATGCGTCCACGCGCAGTGCCGCCCTCGGACGACAGCAATAGACCCTTTCGAAAGTTCCGTCAAGCAACACTGGCTGTTGCCGTTCCTTGGGCACGGAGCGTGCGATTGGATCCGAGTTTGCGCTGAACGCCGACGCAGCCCTTGTGTGCAGTATGCGTTTGGGGCGCGTCCAAGGAGAGGTGCGCTAGGATAACTGGTGGTACAGTCACTACATGGTGAAAACTTTTGAAAAGGGTCTATCCTCCAGTCAGTACCGGACGGGGCTTGCAATCCGTCGCTCACCTAGCCGCGGCACGTCCCTATTCCAGTAAACATTCTCGAGTCACGCTCGTCAGTCGAACAATGTTCTTACATGCTATATGTCGACGGCGACTAGCAAACCCAGGTGTGACAAAAGCTTTTCTCGTTGTCGTCACGCGGTGAAACAGCCTTTTCGTGGGCTTCACGGTGGACCTAACCTAACATTAGAACATAAGGCAATTTTAAAAAGATTTGCCTCTTCCCACGTTAAAAGGCCCAATAATATAGTACTGCTAGTAGAGTGGGCCTGACCGACTACAGTGAAGGTCTGAAGGCTCAATCACGCAATTGCAAATACTTACAACTAAGCTCTTCCGATATCTTACGACAAGAGTACGCACTGGCACGCTGGCGTCATCAATGAGGTGGCCCTGGAACTGCATTTCACTAAGCGAAAGTTTTGCAGTATTTGCAAAAGCAAATGTATGGTGTGTCCTCCAAAAATATTTGATGTTTTTTTTTGTTGTTGTTTTTATTGCAAAAACATACTACATTGCCCAAATGTAAACTAAACCGCCCGAATGTAAGCTCTAGCGGTCCAGAATCAAATACCAAAGTCTTAGAAGTAACCTTTATGTCGTTCAAAAGTTTATAAGTGATTTCCTGAAATTCTTTATGTTAAAATGGGGTCCGTTCTTGGTAATTGGCACCGTGGAGCTCCATTTATTCGAGGGCTTCGTCGGCCACTATTTTCCCGCCGAAAATTTCAGGAAATCACTCGTAACTTTTGAATCAGGTAAGGGTTAGTTCCAAAACTCGGGCACCTAGTTCAGACGGCCGGGGCTACACTTGGGCAGAGGACAAGCATTTGGTTGCGAAGTACCTGGCACAAATGAGCAGAGCTGGCAAATGGAGCCAAACCCCGCACTGCAAAACCCGGAATCCTAGGATCCATCTTGGCCCCCGCCTATTTCGACTTAGACGAGCGTCGTACCGGCACGCATTTGTGTATCTCTACAGCACAATGTGCATTAAAGGCCTAGGCGAGTGAACGTACCATGTCGTTTCAAATTTTCATCTACGGTCGAGATGTCGGAAGCCTCTTGGGGCGGACTAATTTCCTGTTGTTTGAACTTTGATATACGAAAATTACCTTTTTAGAGAAATTTAAAATGTATGGCTGCAAGTATACATCGCTATAACGTAATTTTGTGCCAAACGTCCCAGACGTTGCGCTCGACCATTTCTGATTTTTAAAAGAAAATTTGTGGCTTTTTAGCCCCCCAAAGTCTGCAATCTTTTCCTCAAATATTTTTGCCGAAAAAACATTGTCTTATGGTATGAGCGTGGTTTTAACTTTTAAAATGGGTGAAACCAGGCATCATTCAATAATTGAGTAAAAATCTCTTTTTGTTTGAAACGCTTCACAGTTTATTTTCTGAAATTCAAACAGATTTTAACCTGCTACGTTGTGATGATTATGCAAATTTTTATGGTTAAAACATGTTTAAAAATTTAAACAAAATGTAACTATGCAACTATCCTCATAGTTCAGAAAATAAAACAATCCTACTTACCCTCGCTAGCATCAGCATGAACCACCGAATGACTCGCCTGTGCCGAGTGACCCACTTTATCCTTCAATATGGCACCGTACTCCGACAAACAAATGAACTTTCTTGGGTAGATTCCCAACTCCAACTAGTCAGTGGTCATTCGAAACAATACCCCTCCTTTTTCTGCCCTTTCTTACGGTTGGTCCTTGTTGTAACCGTTGACCCGATAGGGGGCGCTGCCGCGCCCCTGACAAATAAACGTGCGGCAGCAGTTGCTGCAGGGATTCTGCACTGAGACTCGAGTTGGGTGTCGTCAATTATGACAGTCCTTTCCTTTAAAAATGCCAGTAGGGATGTTGCTTTATCGTTAAAAAGTTTCCTGAATAGGTGAAATCCCCTTCTGGTGATGCCAATGCCGTTAGGCATCAAGTTTCAGAGCGAGGAGAGCTGACATCGGTACAAAGGGCGCAACGAGTCTGCTATGCAGTGGCGGCGCGTACGATTATCACACGTTATCTGCTGTTGTTTGCGTTACAACCGAAAAGATGGATGAGTGGAAGTGGCCAGGCAGGGCCGTGACAAACTATGGTGGTGGGCAGATCTTTAGCTGTAAACACTGACTGTATACACAAGGCAATTGCCAGCGAGTCAAGAATGCACCTGCGCAGAACCCTCGGCAAAATTCACACTCCCAACCAACAATTACCTTGCATGAGCGCAAAGCTGCTCAGTTCTGGTGTCAGATGGCGTACTGTGCTGTGAAAGTGAAGAGGAGCTAAGAAAGAATGCCAGGTTGTGACGTGGGAGCTCAACTTCAATGTTTTTTTGTTTTTTTGCTTTAGAAATAGATTATTTTGATGAAACTTTCAGAAATAAAAAAGGCAATAAAATCTTTTTTAAAAGTCTTTATTTTTCGTATTTCTACTTGGACCACCTCAGAGTAGAACAAATGGCTGTTTAGGCAACAAAACAAACTTTTTCACAACATTATAATTTTTTTTCTCTTCTGCAACATCTTTCATTGTTTGGCTTGAAACATTTTTAATTGTTATAAATCTATGGTGCTTCCAATAAATCTTTTATAATTGCCAAGCTCAATGCAATAGTCAAACAAAAAATTCAGAAATGTCGTAAATTTTTAAAGATATTTCAACAATAAAAATTTGACAAACAATAAAAATCTGCACAACCGTCAGAATGTAGCAAGCTAAAAGCCATTAAAATTTCAAAACATAAATTGCGAAGCACTACGAAAAAAACAACAGATGTTTACTCAATTATTGAACAATGCCTGTTTCACGGCCATTTCAAAAATTAAAACCACACTCGCGCCATAACAAACACTTTCGACCGCAATATTTTAGGAAAAGGTTAGGGTCTTTGGAGTAGAAGGCCGTGAATTTCCTTTTAAAAATCGTAAATGGTCGAGCGCAACGTCTGGGACGTTTGGCGTGGAACGACCCCCCAGTAACCAACAGACCGACAGGGCGTCCCTTTCGAGCGCCCGGCCTCCTGCACGCGTTCTATTCTTCCAATGCGCATTGGCCGCACGAGACGCCAAAGCCTCGTCGATGGTGGGATGACCGAAGCCCCTCCCTGCCGTTCTCAAAGAAATGTTTACTCGTGCTCACCTCGCCATCACAGCCATCCACAGTGCCTGCTAGAACCTCCAGTTCCAGCTCCTTCTGGCGACGCATCGCAGAGCAGCTTGCCTGAAAAAAAGTGGACCTTCCTTTTCTGTCCATTTCCCAAGGGCTTTGTGTCGTTTTCTTTAGCGTTTCCGAAAACACAAGGGCCAAATGTGCGGGCCAGTACACCCCGCGTAAGCGAGAGCCGCGACAAAATGTAACAACACAAAAGCAGCAGTGCCAGGAACTGAAACCGTAATCCCTTGGTCATCAAGCTCGACGTCAACATTTCTGTGGCGCAATGTTTAGGCCGGTGTAGTTTCCGCAGGCTCGTAGCGCCATGGAAACTAAGCTAGCCTAGATAGCGTGGCACAAAAAAGCCAACGCCAAGTATAGTCTTGTCCGACAGCCGCAACGCTACGCCCATCAACTTCAACCACAGCCATCAACTTCAAACAACGGCAGAGGGTTTCTAAAACGATTGGCCAGAGCTTTGTGTGGCCAGAACATGCATTATGTGTTGGGTTAACCCTCCACTTAAACACAGGTGGGGCCTCCTCGTTACATTGAAGCTAAAAGACATAACAGCATGAGAAGAGCATCTGAGAGCTGTAGCGGCAGCTGCACTAGATTGGTCATCCAGGGGCCGACTGTTCAGTCCCTACTGCTAATAGAGAGAGAGAAAGAAAGTAGATGTTTCTCTTTGGAGAGGTTAGCTGTTGTAGAAAGGACACTGACAACTCCATAACAGGAAAAAGACAGAAAGGGAGGAAAGAAATAGCGAGATAAGAACTGTAAACGTTTATGCGAGAGAGAAATCGAGGCACATAAGATAAGAAATACTAAGACTTAGAACAAGGGCATAGTAGTGGGTTGTGAAATATCCCAGCCTTATTTCTTGCTGTTTTACCGTTTCTCCCGTAGATTATATATTCACCTATACATATTTCTGGGCTCTAAACACCGACAACTAGCTTAGTCGGACCTCGAGAGGTGTGTGCAAAAAGAAGTGCGGATAAAATCCGAAAAACAGGCTTCATGTGGGCCAGCGTTCAGCACTGTTTTCCTACCGCCATTTCCTTGTAGACAAAGACGCTCCGCTGCGTGTCCCCCCTGTCCAGGTGGCTTTCCTGCGAGGAGACCAAGAGAAGGGGCGCAGGTCAGTTCAAAAGGATGCTTGTCCTAGCTTCGTTGCTACAAGGCCACAGCGGACGATGCAAATACCCGCAGAAGGGGAAGCTAGGATAAACAAAAAGTAAGTGTGCAAATGAGCTGGCGACATGAGTTGGCCTAGGGCAGAGATTACCAGAGAACACATCCAAGCCCTCTGCTCATCACAACATTGGGCTGAAAGGAAACTTTAATAGAAAAGGTCAACTCGGTTTTACTACAATCGTCGCGACTACAATTTTCCTTGTTTAAATTTGCTGCACTTGGAAATGGAAAAAAGGCAGCGCACTGTAAATGACTACATTTTCGTGGACTCAATAATTTGCAAACTTTACGAAGTGTAAATCTCAAGAATATTTTGCAGACACAAAATTTTGCAATTTAGAGTGATGCGATATGTATTAGTTCCAATGGGCTAATATATTCGCACTATCAAATTTTCGCGTTTTTTTCAATTGCGAAATTTGCGAAACTGAGATCCTCACAAAAATAAATCCCTTGGCCGTCACTTTTCCAGCCACAAATGTCTCAAAGGAAGGTAACAGGTCAATATCCAATATGTTCTATATTTCTTCTTTTTTTTTTGCTTTTACAAGAGTTGATATTACCGTAACCCATCCTAACTTGTTACAAATTGGGATGTATTTTAACAATATTTGCTGTTTATAGTTTAGGGGTGGCAGCAGACTGCATTTGTCTTCCTGCCTACGGTGCTATACCTATCTGCTTGACGGATTGATGGATAAATGTGCTTCGTTAGAAGTCCATTTATCCACCACCTTCGTTAGAACCAATTGCTGCAATCGGTAATAGAAATGACAACATTTCACATGCAAGTTCCATCTATGCTATGACACCTATCCTGATATTTTATACGCTCAAACTTCGGCGCAGGTTGTAACGAGCATTTTCTGGGAATTGATATTCACAGTGACATCTCACTAATATGAATAATATAATGAAATATAATATAATATAATAACCCCGTTAATGTGAATCCCCCGATATTTACAAAATTTCCGAGGACAGACCGGGTAAATACATGCGCTTTACAGTAGATTGTAAGAAATGGCTTTCATTATGCTTTAACAGAAAAACAGATGCATGGACCTCGTTCAGTACACTTATTAACCCTTTGATGGTCAAGTTCTTTTTCCAAAAAATGTTTCCCGGCAGCCGGGTTTTGTTTTCAAAGGAACAGTATAAGGAAATGGTGAATTCACATGTTTCTTTCTTCCTAATTATCTAGCGAAAGCACGCACAGTGCTTGCAAGCTGTTCAGATATAGAAGCCTTAAATGGACAATATTAAGAAAGAAAAGTGGCCACTTTTCTTGCATTCGGTTTAATTTTGGTGCGTCCGCTTCCACAACGTTCTGGCGGTTTCAGATTCTGAACTGGCGGTACTTTACAGAGCTTCTCCGTCGGATGCTAAGCTCTCATAATCTGAATTAGATACTGACAAGCGTTAAAACCTTAGCCGGAAGAGCAGGCGCTCCGATTGCCGCTACCGCTAGAGCAGCCAACATGAGAGGCAACCCTCCTGTGTGTATTATGTATGCAGAGCGTCGAATTTGAAAACTATACAGAGCCCCAGCAAAGTCAAACGCTGCATGAATGTAATGTTTATAGTTCGCCAAACACGTAATAAATAGCAATATCCCTCGAGGTGCACGAGATTTCGCGTTTCGGCGGGCACTTTCAAAGTTGTAATTGCCACCATACATGTACGGCGATGACCGTCAAAGGGTTAATAAACAAGACGTTTCTTACCGTGAAATTCCGTGAGACCGCCCACCCAAAATGAGGAAATAAACCGTGAAAAACGTGGGGTGGGCTATCTTTGGGGATGCGACAGCGAAACTTTATAAAAAATTAATGATAAACACCGGGACAACCACTAAAGACCATCTGACATGGGAACTGATACCGCAGATCACAGACACGGCAAATCCGCATTTCACAATGCGATAAACACGTGGGAATTCACTACAAACTCCTGTGCAGATGCAGCAGATTTGCGCTTCCCGGTGCGAAGAACCCGCAAAAACCCGCCAAGAACTCGCATGTCACAAGAACGGATCGCAGATCGCGGTCGCAGCAGATTCGCATTTCACAATGTAATTTACACGCAGGAAGAACTCGCATGTTACGGAAGCCGATATTGCGCAGACAAAAACGCACAAACCCGCTATGAACTAGCTTGTCAGATGTACAGCTACTGCAGATCGCACGGTTAATGTGATTTCTGTCAAACATCGCGCGACGTTTGACGGAAATCGTGAGGTGGGCAACATTTTGGAATCTTTGTTACGGATATTTAGTCAGCAAAACGGGAAGGGCGACCTATCAGGGGAGGGCGTCCTTGCGTGATATTACAATAGCTCTTTTAAGGGCCGACAAGCAGCCAGAAAGACGGAAACTCTACCTAATTCCTCCTTTCTATTCGAGAAAGAGGGAGACCCTCATCCTTTCTGCGGGGAGTAGATCAGAGACCCACTCTCGTGGAGAGAGTAGGAGAGAAGAGTGCGCGAGAGAATGGAGAGAAGGAAACAGAGAACCCGTTTTCTGCCCGGCAGAGGACGATACTGCAGGTCGGCCTTTAACGGGATGTCACTAGACCCCAGTGTTAGCAATTCTCTCCGGGATGAACTGCACAACGGCCTACTAACTTGTCCGAATGTTACCCAGCTCTGCTAAACAGCTCGTCGCAAGACAGGCCGTTCTGTCGACATTAGAGTCGGAGGCTCACCTCGGTGTGCCTCTGGAGTTCCGTCAGAAGGGCGGGATACTTGTCCAGACGACGAAACGGCTGACTCAACCCCACCGTCAGTGCCAGCAAACTGCCTGGTGGAGACTGCTGCTCAAGCCATCGACTTAGGGTGTCCCTGGACGTCAAAACAAACGCTCGTCAATCACTGCGTATCCCGAAGACGGCGGAAGGAGCACGGTGCCCGGTACATGTCTTCAACTGGCGCGTTTACCAACCCATCCCGCCCACCCGTCGGGTCTGCTAAAAGTCTCGTTTACAAGTACGGACGGTGTACGTAAAGCTTTGCAGAAGCCAGGAAATGTCATACTGTAAAACCCTTTATTTTCACGACCCCTATTTTTTGCGAATTGGTTATAGAGGACATAATAACGGCCACTAAAATTCGTGAATTCCAGATGCCTGCATTTAAACTCTCAAAAGACCGAAATATTTGCGTGCCGAAGGTTAGGGCTCGCAAATCTTTACATGCCGAAAGTTAGGGCTCGCAAATCTTTGCGTGCCGAAAATTAGAGCTCGCAGACATTGAAGGTTGCTTTTACAGTATATGATATTTTTCAAAAGATAGCAAAGAGCTTTCTAATCAATGAATCTCGTGCATCTACTTTTCTGGAGAGCAAGTCGAAGCTAATCATGGCGATCTATAAAACGAGGGCAGCGAATCGCGTCAGAACAGTAATACCAGAGCAGGCCACCCTTTCAGGTCCAAATGTTGTCAGTACGCTGCTGTTTGCGAGGCCTCTCCCGCCATTGGTTGCGACTGGACCTCGGCACTTTCCTCGAGAAAGTGGACCCACGAGTTTGGTCGACAAGCTCCAGCGTGCTTGCGGAAAAATATGGTAACTATGGTCGCTGACAAAGAAAGGGTTAGAATGGCAGGGCGACCCTCTCTAACGCCCAGCCCCTCGCAAGCGCTCGTTGCCCTTAGCCTTGTCGCCCTTAGAAGGTAAGGACGACGGGGTAAGGACGAGAGCGGCATGCGGGACAACTCCTCCCTGCCGCTCTCGTCCTGTCAGTTACTCTGCAAATGTCGCAAACCTTCTGAGGTTGGAGTTCGACCGGGTTCGAGTTCGACCGGGTTCGAGTTTTTCCACCATTTCGTTTAAAGCTTGACAAAAGCTTGACTGAAGTTCAACCATTATGCACGTACACATGAGCTGAAAACGAGATGAAGCCACCCAGCGGAATAAAGGGTGCAATATTTGCCCAGTCTATTGCTTCACGCTATCAAACTAACCTACCTAATCATTAAAAGTTTGTTTTCTTTTGTATTGCGAGAAAACCTACCTGCAAATAACAAGACTGAGGGGCAACATATTACAAAATCAAATCTCTTGACCCGCATGATGCTTCGAGCAAATGGGAAAGAGGCAAGACGTTTCGAGGCCAATGACCTCTTCTTCGGCGTCCTCGACACATATTTCGCAAACTCTAAAACAAACTACCGTATAAATTGCTTTTTCCCGAAGCTTCGACAGTTTTGCGTATGAGTCGGTCCACACTGTCTAACAGTCGAACTTGGTCCAATTCTACTTAAAGTTTGGCAGTTCACCGAACCAGCCGAACTTCGGGCCCCACAGAAGTGTGCGACATCCCTAACTTATGCTCCAAGCTCGGTACGTGAGAATGTTTTTCTCCTCAAGAAAACTGGGCTGGAAGAGCGGAGAACCGGGGCACCCCTCACTTGAGACTGTCCAGCAACTGCACGGCCCGGGGGTGGTTGGCGCAGTAGTCGAGCTGCGCCGCCTTCATGCGGGGGGCCAGCTGGAGGAAGGCCCCCCCCACACGCTGCTCACGACCGTCCTGCCTGCACGCACACCGCAAACACTCAACTCAGCGCAAAATTGCGAGCGCATTCCTCAGCATCGCCTTGGACTCACTATCACGGCTAAAGTGCCAAATGTTGGTTGGCACTGTATGCAATATACAATAGAGTTTATGCATGCGAAATGTAGAATATACCAAGACTACGAAAACAGATCTTCTTTGTGTGCAGGGCCGGCCAACCAGCAGAAATGTATAAACACGCAAAAGCATAAACATTCACAGTTGCCAGATAGTCGTCAGTAAAAAGGGAAAAAAAGTCTAGTCTACAATAAACGAAACAAACACATTCTCGAGTATGCACCGGAATATACTGAGCATCTGCCCATTCCAGAATAAGCGCCCCCCCCTCAATTTTGTAACATTCGGAAGACACACATAGGACACATCTTTACATAATGATGACCTAAGGAGTGCCCGTCCCCCAGTTTTACACGATTTTATCTCCAAATTTTGAGTGGGTGCTTGCTTGGAATTTTTCGGTACACAGCCATCAAAACACTGCATAAAAGAAGCCGCCTTCAAACTTTGTGTGCAAGTATTCAAATGCAATACGACAAAATTTCGACAAAGCCATTTCGTCAAAATATGTGGCTAAGTATGTAAAAAATAACAGAAAGAAAATAACAAACGATAACCCAGATGTGTATGTTGCAGATAAAAATGATGTCAAGTATGTGCAGAATTATGAATTGCAATACACAGTTACGTAAAAACTGGAGCAGGGGTTCTCAAACTCTTCTATGTTGAGGAACCCTTATGCGGAGAGCAAGTGGTCTGGTTGCAGTTCCCGCTAAATTTAGCGGAAAAATTTCCCCGCTAAATTTACCAGGCTAGCTTTCCCCGCTAAATTTAGCGAGGAAATTGACGTCACGTGACCTCAAAACCAATTCAGTTTCTCCGCTAAATTTAGCGGAGAAAATGACATCACGACTTCGTGTCACGTCACCCATGAACAAATTCAGCAGCAGGAGGAGAGGGGTGGAGGAGGAGGATGAGCATTCCCTCCCCTCCGTACCCTCCCCTCCTCCTCCTCCTCGAGAGCTGCGCTTTAGTTTTGCACCACAGAGATTTGTAAACATCTTTCATTTTTCTCTCTGTGTGGTGCTGAAGAACGGGAAAACACATTTGGACTACCGAAATCAGCTACATTCAACATGGCAAGACAAACGAAAGTGCTAGATTTGTGCCACCACCGCTAGGGTATGCATCTCATCTCCGAGTGGCGACGTCAAAACATCTGGGATCGCGACGCTTTTTTTTTTTTTCTTCTTGGAACGTGTGAAACGGCGTCTCTTGACTGACGCTTTTAGCGTTTTAGCTTTGACCTGTGCTTTGACGGTGTTCGAATTTTTGTTGTTTCCTTGTATTTTCCTCCTGATCTCGCGTTCTGCACCAGAGCAGACACACTTACACGAGTGACAGTTTGAAACGCTCAAGTTTGTACTACCCAAAACAAGTCCTAACAAGTTGCTTTTTGCAGCGCCCCCTGGGCAACGCAGGAGGCCTATACTGCCCATTCTAAAGAATGTCTGGCTCATAGTTACGCATCACCGAATGGGTCGTGTCTCCCAAAAACGGTGCCCAAGCTGGAAAACTGCGTACTTAAGGCTGGGGAGGGGCAAGGAAATTTGGGAGCTTGAGGGAATCCATAGACCTGGGCAATCCATAAACTAGAGAAGGAAAGGAATACTGCAGAGATTCCTCCTGTCAATTGCTACGATCACATTTCCAAAAAAAGACACCACGAACAAAGATTGTCTAGACTTTCTGGTCGGCCGTGGAAGGACCAGACCCACAGGAAAGTGTCTAGTGACAAAAGGTGAGGAGGGGTGTGACTCACTCCTTGACTGCAACCAGGGCAAGCAACAGGTCCGAGTGAACCTCGAGCACCACTGACAGGTTGCCCACCAGTTGGTTGAAGTCCTGCTCACTCAGTCTGGGCAAGGACAAAGGGAAGCCAGATGTTACCACAGCTGCTGTTCAAACAGTTTGCAGTATGTCCCACATAAAGAATGGCACAACTGGATATAGGTAGGGTTCCGTGTTTTTGGATAAATCCGGAAAACTCAGAAAAACACTCTCCGTGCACTCTCTGGTCAAATTTACATTCATTCAAATTTATTCAAAAACTCTGAATTTCAATGTCAGGATGGCAAAATAAAAAATAATAAAAAGCAACAAATATGGTGTTTTACTAATAAATTACAAGAAAGCCCGGGTCAGTGATCCCGAGGAGAGACCACTTCAGTCTCCCTTTAAAATCTTACTACTGGCAAAAGAGAGTTTACCATTTATCTCGTCAAGGTTTGTTGAGAACAACGGGGATTGTATTCCTGGAACATGACACTAGCCCTTGTTCCGATTTCCAGTTTGGAACATACCATCTGTGCTTCTCAGAGGAAGGAGGCGTTGCGCTTTTCTAACAGTGAAAGCTATGAATCTGCAGATTTTATAGGAGGTTTCAAGGCAGGGCAGCTGGAGCTTCCCAGCGACTACGTTAAGGCGCTTAGGTTATTTCAAAGGACTGACGTTAATTGAAACACAATATTTTTGCGATGTTTTTCGTGGGACAGTTAGTATTGACAATGGCAAGGGCACCAATACCAAATGCAGCTGCAGACATATCATTTGATAAGGGTGAGTTCTATTATATGAATTTAATGCATGTTTGTATCCAGATGATATATATTTTTTTAATTTTGAAAACATTAAAAAAGTAATATTAAACTCTGAATTTCAATGAATTGGAAATATTAAAAAATAAACACTGATAAACCCTGAATTTTTAGCGAAAAAGAATCTGAAAAGTACCCTCCAAATTTAATAAAAACTGAACTCTGCATGCCACCTCGACCCGCGTTAATAGCACGCCACGCACGGACGCACGCATGTGTGCACCAAATAAGAAAGCTGCACAAGGGCCTGCTTTTGGTGATTGACAATGCGCCCAACTTGGCCCGACGCCAAACTGTTTGTCAACGCGATCGCCGGGATTCCCACTTCCCCAGGATCGCTCTTTGTCGCTTCTTTCGCCAGCTCGCTTGCTGACTCAATGCACCTGGCTGGTTTTCCTACTTTCTTGCTGACCCTTTTTCTTGCTAACGAAGAGAATGTAGAAGAGAACATAGTCGTGTTAGAAACATGCTTTCAGGGAACAAACGTTTGCGCTGCATGTCGACTAGCGGTTTTTATGACGTGTAGGACTTCGCAACGGTAAAGCATTCTTTCACAGCATTTTTTGTATAAAACGATGAAACTAATTCAAGTTTTGAGTTTAATGTATCTCCCGTGCAGCCGTGCTAGATACGTACAAAAAAAATAGGCTTTTTTCTTCAGCTTTTTTTAACCCTTTTGTGCTTACCCCCCCGAGGCATGGCCCACCCCACTTTTTTTATGAATTTCAGGGGGCAGAGGGGTGGGCATCGACTCAGAATATTATAAATTGACTTGTTTGTAAACCAAGACACATGTGTCGGCTTTCCCACGGAACTTTCCCACATTCTAGAACCGAAAAAGGTCCGGCGCACTCACAGCTTGGCCTGCTCCAGCGGCTGCAGATAGCCAGAGAAAAGGCTCTTGAGCTCGTGCAGGTGGTTTGCCTCCGTGTCAAAGATGTCCTTGAACACCTGCAGCCGGACAATGGGACAGAGACAATGGTGCTTCACTTCAGAACAAGCAGAGCTAAAGTGGCAACAAAAACTAAACAGCGCACAAAAAACGAAGACGGGAGAAAGGAGTGATACACTTACAAGCACTGACTGTGAATGACAGGAAAACTCTAACCAAAAAATAATACGGAGCCTGACGTTTCAAGGCCAGTTCGGCCCCTTGTTCATGGGCCCAGAAACTTCGGGTTCCGTATTATTTTTTGGGTAGAGTTTTCCTCTCATTCATTGTCATTCCTAACCAGGTGGATGTTCACCGAAATGTTTACGTTCAAGCACTCACTGACAACGAAAATTTTTATTGAAAAGCAAAGCGACAACAAAATCATATTAAAAAAAAAAAAGAAACACATTTACAATCCCCTGTAACGCCGAATTAGCTCTTCAGGAGGAGGAGGGAAAGGTACGGAGAGGAGGCTATGCCCCTCCTCCTCTCCTGCTCGCCTCCCATTTAGGGGAAAACTTTCCGCTAGATATTTGGCGGGGAAAATTTTCCGCTAAATTTGGTGGGGAATTGTTTTCGCTAAAATTAGCGGGAAAACTTTTCCACTAAATTTAGCGGGGAAATTTTTCTGCTAAATTTAGCGAGGAAATGTTTCCGCTAAATTTAGTGGGGAAATTTTTCCGCTAAATCTAGCGGGAAAAATTTTCCGCTAAATTTAACAGGAAAATCTACCCATAATGCACCTCGCGGTTACGCCGACGGCGACGGCAACGTCAGCACTTCTGCAAACCACTCCTCTCCTGTTTTTATTTTTTGTGCATTGTTATATTTTCCTCAGTCGTGAATTGTCTCCCTCGCATCACCACGTTAATCCAAGCAGCAATTCTAGAACCAACTTTAAGCTGAAAACCAACATTTTTGTGTTAAATTACTGTAAAATACCGAGCATGCACTTCTATTGCAATAAGCTTCTAGCCCCCCCTCTCCCTGAAACATACAAAATATAGGCGAAGGGCATATGAAGTGACCATCCCAGCAAACATCAGAGCCACTGAGTTAAATGAGCTTCTCAGAGAAGGCAGTGCAAAGTGGTGAAGCTTTACACACGCTTTAGAGCGAAGCAGTAAAGCAATGCGAAGCAGGACAGATGCAGTGATGTGATTGGCCCAAGCCGTTTTGGAGCACCTTTCGGAGCAGCCAAAATAGTGTTTTGGAGCAGCAAAAGTGGCTTTTGGAGCAGCCAAGGCAGTGTTTTGGAGCAGCGAATGTGGCTTTTGGAGCAGCCAAGGCAGTGTCTCAGAGCAGCAAAGGTGGCTTTTGGAGCAGGTATTCTTCGAAAAATAAAATGATTTGTTTTAAGTGCTGTATAAATGAAGGGCACTTTGTGTTGTGTTCTGATGTGACGTGTTGCTTGTGTTTTTACTGCTGAGACATAGACATTGCTGAGCAATTCCATAAAACCGCTTGCCACTGTTTTACTGGTTCCCGACGTGCCAGATATTCGTCAAAGGTAAGCAAACATAAAACTATGGATTGCAAGCGTCCCGGCTGGTGCCTCTGTCATGCAATCATGTTTGCATGCACATGAGGGCAACTTCGGCAGGCTTGCAGTTGCGTGTGCTTCGTCGCGCGAGCGGAGGAAACGGCTCTTTGATTGAAACCGAAACCACTCCACTCCGCTCCGTCACTAACCGATTCCCTAAATTGTATGCAAAATGTAACTGTCGAGTATACAACAAAAAACAGTCCAGCGGCGCGAACTTGCCAGGCCGGCACTGAAAATACAAGCTAAACACACGCACAAAAAAAAAGAACCTGAGCACATTGATGCAAGACATTGCGAGCCAGTGTCAAAAAGTTTTTGAAGCACTTTGTGCAACGACTGAACTCGAGACAAACAAGCGCGCTGTGCGGATTCAGAATGCAGACATTGCCTTCTTTCCTTTAGCTCACTTCTCTTCACCAACTTTCTTTCGCGGAAGATTTTTTACGTACCGGGGTCCCTCTCGAAAAAAAGCCCACCGGGAGAAACCTAGGTAATCAATACTGCGACACAGCAGTCTTTGAGTTAAAGAGGGATTTTTGTAGTAATGTATGATTTAATTAAACAAGAGCAGGAATGTTGATGAACATGCGGTGGTACTTGGTTTAATTTTAAAAAGCGCCATATCTGCAGCGACATGGGGACGGCAACACCTGAAGTTGCACGACCACGGTGACTGAAAGGCAGGGACCAAATATAGTTTTCCCACAGCCCTTGCTTTCAGGAGCAAGTGCTTCAGCTCAGAAAGTAACTCCCGCCGCGAAAAAATATGGTTTCGCTTCACGGCATGACTGCATGGCTGGTACCCGGCATGCTAGCGTCGGAGCGTCCGCACAGACCCGCGTCTATTGGGCTGCTTGCACCACATAACACGCGGTACTCAATTATGGTACTCAGTTTACTGTTGTTCTTGAAAGGCGATCGAAATTGGTTTTTTCGTGCAGGCTTGGCGCAGATTACCCATATTTTGACAAAAATGTAGCAGGATGTAGCAGGGTTAGTGCCTTGGTGCAGTTTGGCACAGCAATCACATCACTGCAGGTGAGAGCGGCGAGGCTGCTTTAAAAATGAAAGGGGACTGCTCCTGCGCCGTCCCATTGGATAAAACAAGGACCTATCCCGCCATGTGGACCTTCTGATTTTCCGTTCTCGGACACATCCCTATCTCTTCATGATTGTCTACAAGTTCTGCCTAGACACTTGCTCAGTTGCTTTTTTTCACAGTAGCTACCACCAGACCAGAACAACACTGTCCCAAATACGCAGCCCGATGCCAATATTTCCGCATGCTTGACAGAGGTAGCAACGTATGCAGAAGGCACGCTTGGCCCAGTTCTTTCTTTTACCAATCTCCTGGAAGGTTACATCCCATTCTCAACTGGCACGGTGTGTTCTAGTTCAGAATGTTCTTGAATGTATGGTGTGTATATAAAAGCAGCAGTAAGATGCTGTCTCGAGTCAGTCGTCTTTCCACCGCCGATGCAGCATGTGCGGTAAAATTTTCTTTTAGTCGAGTGCATAAGGTTGTTTTATTAAACATTTAATTTCAGTTCCGAATTCACCTCCTTTCTTTTTATTTGGGACAAGAGAACTTTAAAAATCAGGCCGGACACTGTCCAAACCAGACGGTCAAACCCAGCCTGAGCCCCAATGTCCGTTCCAAAGTGCAGCTTAGACAAAAAAAATACCGCTCGATTCGGCGCACGCGTACGATTTCAGCGAAAACACGAATCACGCTGTTGAACAGCGATACAACGCGACTTTCCTCCTCACTTTTGCCGTCGTCTCCCCCATCTTTGTTGTGCCTGGACATTCGGGATCGATAATGGCGGCGGAGGCCTTAGCCAATGGCCAGCGGAGGGCACGAGCAGCCGCATCCCAAGACCGACATCGCGAGCACGTCCCAAAGGATGCAAACAGGATGCGGCTATACTACCGACAAAAATCGTCCTAAAGCGGTCCGGAAGTGGAGGAAAACCTGCATACTTCTGTCCAGCAAAAGTCGCGCACAACTTAAGTTAGAGTAAATCGTGTCCCGCGTGGACAGCCCTTCAAACCCGACGTGGACATCGTCTGTGTTTCTCGTCATCTAATAACTTTCACAAACCATTCCAGCATTTTCTTGAGCCCTTAGATGTCCAGCCCAGTAACCGCAGGTGGGTATAGTTAAGCCAGGTCCAAGGGAACTCCGAGACATCCAAGCCTCACTTTTGTGACAGTATTAAAATTACCTCGTTCCTCGAAGTTTGTACAAAAAACATTTCTTCTCCGTCCAGCCGACGAATGCGACGGAAAAAGACCGTCAGCCTCGCCGAAGAAGACTTTGCAGGCGATTTCTTTCTCGGAAAGCCCACATAAAAAACAATGCACTTACCATGCTCCGGTAGAGCTTCATGCTGTTGTGCCGCGAGCTGAGGGAGAGGTCCACGGCCTTGGGTTGTGCGCTGGTTACTTTAGATGCATCTGTATTAGAAATATGCAACAAGATTTTGCGTATGTTTAGACACCGAGAAGTTGGTCGGCCCCAGTCGGTGTCTGGTGCACCCGCTGTACGACCGCTGGCCTGGGGTCTTTAACGTGCATTAGGCAGTAGTGATACAGAACCGCACAACAGTGTGATTCTCATTTAGGTTGAAAGAGACAGGGGTGGGGACAGTGCCCAGGATCTTTGGGCTGCGCAGTACGAGCTTTCGCACCATGCGCTCCCAGCCGCAGTGCACTAGCACGCCTGGCCACCGATCCCCCAGAGATAGATACAAACTCTGTAAGGCAGAGGAAATTTCTCATCCGACCGCGACACTGAGGGCCTGCCGCGGCAGATGCTACCTTGATTGGACGAGGAATTGGCTCGAAATAAAATATGGCTCCATATATATGCAACATTTTTATTTTGTGCGAGTACTGCTCTCATAAATTCCGCAGAAAAAAAAGGAAATGGCCATGTTTGATGTTGCAACACAACTTGTTGAGGCACGGACATTGCAAAGTTCTCCTTACGATTAGTATTGTTGCATTCTCTTCCATGTTTATATAACTAAGTAGAGATGTCGGCCGGTTTTGCCATTTAGTCCTTCGTCATTTTCAATTTAAAGTAAAAGTGCGAATGCCGATATAATGGCTGGCATAATGAACCAAATTATATTTTAAAGAATGACACAGTATGCTGGTATAAATAAACAAAATCTGGATTGAGAAAATTTTGTTATTGGCTCAGAAATGTGATAGCTATATTTTTTCAATTGAATTATGCAATATAGTGAGAAGATATGTATTCTCAGTGACAAGACCTAAGATAAAAATGTAACATCAGAGAAAAACTCGGAGCCAACATGGGGCACATTAATATCTGAAGCAATGTGTCATACCAAATAACAACAAAAGAATAACATTCGTTACAGAGATATCTCCAGAGTGATGTGAAAAGGACATTTAACTGCCTCCATAAATTTAAGGAAAGATTTTTTTTTTTTTGATGGATGAATTTTATTTTTAGAAATACCAACATGTCAACAAAGACCAGCCTAGAACAATCGCTGCAATATTAATATTTTTGCGAGGAGCCAACATGGTTTCAATTTTAGAAAAACTGAAGAGAGCCAAAAGGGAAACAGAAAATGCTGCCACAGAAATTCCAGTGCTGCAATGTGGCGAAGGAAAGAGCATGATTCACCGGTGTTAACACGTCACTTTCACGAACACTTCCATATGAAGTGTACAACGTCCTGACAGCCGCTGAAAAGTTCATTTTGTCGGCACATGTGGGGGCCACCACTCAGATGCGGCAAAGGGCAGCAGAAGTTTGATTGGTCCTTGACAGCATCACTCTCTGCCAAAAGTTTATACCTAACTTGTTCACAGAAATTTGTACCTTTTGTTCATTTTGTCGGCACATGTGGGGGCCACCACTCAGATGCGGCAAAGGGCAGCAGAAGTTTGATTGGTCCTTGACAGCATCACTCCCTGCCAGAGGTTTGTACCTAACTTGTTCACAGAAACAAGCTGTCCACTACGCATGAACTGTAGCGTTCCAAACACGAAGGAGGGCTAGGGTTACAGTTCTGCAGCGTCATGGATTCTTTTATAGGTGTATATAACATCTGCTTTTATGGATGTGTATCACCTGTAATGCTAAAAAGTTAGTGTTATAGTTCTAAGGCATCATGGACTTTTTATAGATGTATATGACATCTGCTTTTATGGATGTATGTAACACCTGCAATGCTAAGAAGTTAGCGTGATAGTTCTCTAGCATCATGGACCCTTTATAGATGTATATAACACCTGCTTTTATAAATGTATGTAACACCTGCAATGCTAAGATGTTAGGGTGATAGTTTGAAGGCATTATGGACCATATATAGATGTATACGACATCTGCACTGCTAAGTTAGGGCGACAGTTTTGCAGCATCACAGACTCTTTGTGGACGTATATGACATCTGCAATGCGAAGATGCACTGGTTCCGCCTCTGGGCATGTGACTGCCCTTGGGTTGCCCGGGGCACTCTCACCGGGCCTGTGTTCCTTGACGTAGTTGCTGGGAAACCAGCCTGTGTTGCCATCCAGGGTGCCCTCCCACCAGCCCCCTTCCAAGGCCTGGGTAACTGTCAGGATGTCCCCCTTCTTGAAGCAGAGCTGTGCGTGCAACCACCCCAAGTGACTTGGAGATGTTCGCCACTCAGCCACTCCACCACACACACAGCCTCTGGCTTCTTAGGAAGCCTTATTGCTCTCAACTAAACATATGCACTGTGATCAAATAATTATCGCTAGAATCAAAACTCTTTTTTTTACAAACAAATTTTTGAGAGATTGTTGCAAGCCGTGAGTGAACCATGCGTGAAAGGTGTGAACCAACATGTGACTGAAGATTAAGTGAGATGAAATTAACTAGTGAAATGGAACTGACTGAAGTTGCATAGTTTGATGACATCTCCATTGTGCCAAACATTATACAATTCACCCGGTCAACTCAAGGCGAAACAGCTCGAAAAACGAAGACTACAAACTACATTCACCCCTGCAAGAGCCTTGGTATCAATTGTGACCAGAACAGAAGCTTGGCATATTATGCCGCTGCAATCGGCGAAATTTCTATTTTCGGCCATCTCAGTGCTTTTTGGATCAAAAGAAAACCCGTGGGGCCAGTTCAATGTCACAGCTTGACAGCAATGGCAAACACCTGTGAGTTACTCCTGCGGCACTTAAATTCAAATAACATTATCGAAAACACTTCTTTACAAGAACAGCATTAAATTTTTTGTTGCTTGTTCCAGCACTCAAGTTAGCAACATATCTATTAGATTCCGTCTGTGATTTTGAGCAACTCATGCAGGCCCAGATTATTTTAATGTGGATATGGCCCCATTTAATTTTCAAAGTGGACCTCTCGCTATTTCAATTTTCAAGGAAGCTGGGATGGGGATGGGGATAGGGAAAGAGAATAAGCGGGCTTTAATAGTCATCAAGATGTCAGTAGTCGTGGCAATCTTCTGGAGCTGACAGTGAACAATCCTGCAACGTTTAATTTCAATCGTCAGCATAGACCAGCTCATTCTAACAGGTAGTAAGCAAGGCTGACTTGTGGTGCTTGGTCAGTGGTCTGCAGGTCATAGTAGTATAGAGTCTGTATGGAAAGTATTTGACTAGAACAGTGGTTCTCGAATGGGGGTCCGTGGACCATTTGGGGCCCACGAAAGCATTCTAGGGGTCCGCGAAGCCCTGCCTCATCAGTCGACCCGGCCATAAAAGTTGTCTTTTTTCAGGTCGAGAAAAAATGTTTTAGTTTTTGGGCGAGTTCTGTCGTGTGTGTCAAAAAATAAAGGTCTTTTTTTTTACAGTTTGATTAGCAGAGAGCCAATGGTCCTGGGAAAATTCCACCATAATTATCTTTCAAATCTCGAACCGTTGTCAAAAGGGGTCTTGCCGCTTGTCTCTTCAAGGTTGAATCAGGGTAACAGGTCGTTCGTTGTTCATTCGGGTCACGACAAAAGCCACTCTTTTGGATTGTGATTTAGAGATGGGAAAGGGTATGCTTTAGTAACAGTGAAAGCTATGGACCATAGGGATTGTATAAAATTGGGAAGAGGGACAGTTCAAACTCTCCGTTACCTCCTTAAAGGCCGAAGTACACTTCGCGCTTTCCACTCTTGCTCGCCTCCTCCTTTCCTATATCATCTCCAGTTTTTACCTCGCTCCAACTTGGCTCCCCTCGCAGCTTAGGAGAGGAGGAACGCTAAAAGGATTATCTTCCTTGCAGAAAACCGAGGTTGTACGTCGGCCTTTAACCACTACACCTCGCGCGGCCACGGGCCAGATTGATGGAATAGGATGGGATGACTACGAGTATCCTAGCAACTACCTCCGGGAGTTCGTTGATTTTAGGGTATCGGCGTTTATCGAAGTGCCACTTGTGTGTGACTTTTGTCGTGGGAAATTAGTATTGCCAATGGCAATGGCACCAATGCCAAATTCAACTGAAGATATTTTAATTAATACAAGTGTGTTTTCTTTTTTTATCTGGCATACATTTACATTAGGTTATTATTTATTTATTTATTTACAATAGGAAACACAGCAAAATTAAACTCCCAATTTCGGAGAATCGGGAATAAAAAAAATTTAAACTCCGATAAACTCTGAATTTTCGGCAAAAAATAAACTCCAAAAAACATCCTCCGAATTTGACGAAAAATAAGCTCCGAAAACACGGAGCCCTAGTTATATCCATTTATTAAATCATCATTATATTTAACCTATACCATTCCCCTCCCCTCGAAACGAACAGGGTACTCCATCATCTCCGTCGATCCACAAGGGGTCGGCGAAACATTGATGGTTTAGAACCACTGGGCTAGAGTAAGCTCAGGCTCATTCAAGCTTGTATTCCATGCAAGCTTTAAAAAGTGAGGCGATTTCTTACATTTTTTTGCAAGACTCGTTTATCTAGAATGGGCGCTTTTCTTCTGCACTCATTCACAGGCTCCATAGGTCTTCCAACCTCTCATTAATTTTTATTTTTAATGTCACCCACAATTCGAGACTGACAAAGGTATTTGCTAAAACTTTCACATCTGATCGTCGTTACCGAGTTTCCTGCAGGCATTGTTTCACCCTTCCGCGATTATGAACAGCAACTTCGGCAGTTCTTTGTCAAAGTCTAGCAGTCCTCGGTCAAATGAAATTCCTAGCTAACCACATTCATTAGCATTTTGCAAGCTGGTATGTTTGTTGCGCAAAAATAGGCCCTGACATCTCCGGAGGTGCTAACGCAGCCTATGATACCACAATTCTCCAAACCTGAACATAGGCCACTCAGTCAAACCACATTGTTCGAAGAGGGCCATGGAGATCATCTGACATGTCTCACAGCCAACTTGCCATGTCACACCAAAAGGAATAGAACTTAGCATCTAGAAGTGGGACCATACAAAATCGGCAGCGTTGTATTCTCTTCGGGTCCTGTCTAGAAGCTGCGTTTCCTTTTACTTGAGGTTGTGGCGTTCCCACATAACCGCTTACGACGAGTAAACACACCGGCATGCTGGCACAATCTATCGGCTAACACTGAAACACTTCTGATTTGTGTAACTAGGCTGATGGTTTTGCAGTATTTGCGAAATCAAATCTATGCATCACCTACGAGAAATAGTCGCTTATAACACTGTCAGAATCATTTCAAGCACACAATGAAAGAATGAAGCGTAATGAATTATGAAAGTATACACACTGTTCGGAATGGTTCCAGGGCTACCTGATAGGTGGCACCAGTGTGCCAGTAGCTATGGGTGGCACAAGCCACCGCCCAATTTCAAGGGTTCAGCCGTATTCATCCATTCGTCGTTAAGCGGTTACATGGGAACACTCAAATGCAAATATGTGAACCAGTCCGAAGTCCCACCTGTCTGAATGCCGAGCAGCTAAACAAAAACTGTTACGTCCTCCTGCCAGCGAACCAGCTGACCGAAGGGGTTCACTTACCTCGTCATTATTTTTGCCCTTGAAATTGTGGATCGCTCGAACAAGCCTCGGTGCCAGCTCGGACGCCATGTCAACTTGTCAGAATCATAGTTCGCTCGATGTTCTCCTGGCTGCCGAAGCGGGTCACTTCAAAAACAAGGGGCATAAACAAACTCGTCAATACCAGACACACGGGTTCTCACGGTGACTTCGCTCGTGTGAAAGAAACTACACCTTTAGAGAGCAAACGTCGGCGTTTAAATTGTGTTGCACGCTTTAATTAAAGTGCAGCTATTGCGTGAGGAAAGATAAATCAGTAAATTATGATGAGGATCCGCGATACGCCACGTAGAACTAATGTGTTCCGAGCCGGCTGTGTCGGTGGCATACTGCGGTAAAGAGTAACTGCCGACCTCAGTCCGTTCAACGGTCTTCACATGGTTGATCTGTTTGCACGTAGCTTACACCCTCAGTCATTCGTAATATGCAACTGGTTAGGAAGTGGCACTCGGTATTACGCGAGCATCTGACCGACGTGACATTGAGTTTGGCATTCGTGCGTCTTGTAATAAGCATTACCTTCGCGCGGAAGTGTGCAGGGTAGGCCGCGGACACCAGTTGGGTCGGTCTGCGTTTCAAGATAGCACTAGAATTCGCGAAACAACAACAACGGCTCGGTTACGGCACTACACAAAACACACCCGAGCTCACAACACCACAACAGCACACGAAACAGCAGAGGCAGAGAAGCAAACGGTGATCGAGTTGGTGATGTTTGATGATGGTGATAGTGCACCTGACCGGATGGACAAACAAATAGTGGTTAGTAGGTAGGCGGTCGCTTGCGCCATCTTTCCTCTTAATGGGAAAGGTTATTGCGGGTCGTGAAAGTAAAAAAAAACTTGGATACAAAAAAAAAACAATGGAGTAGCAAACAATTATTGATCATTAGCACATACCGCCAGCATAATGCAGAAATGCCTGCTTTAATTTCTTTTGAATTTCTTTAGCACTGACAAATGGGTGGGTAAATAAATAACTAAAACGTTTTATTTGAGCGGTAGCTAGCGCCATCTAGAACGTTTTTACGTGACCACAAAACAATTATTTTGCAAAAAAAAAAAAAAAAAAAAAAGTCCTTTTGGAGCGTTGCGGAGGCTGGGTGGCAGCGGTACTGACGACGCGTTTTCTGCTCGTTCATCGCCATTCGCCAATGTTTGTTTGTTTTAAACCTTGTGCAAACGGTGAAAATTGCCTTTGAGAACACCTGAACATTTTTACAAAAGTGCAGCACCGCAGGAAAAAGGTGCAACTTGTCAAACGCCAATCTCGCCGGTCGCGGCGTGATCAATAGACCCCTTTCGGAATTTTGGCAACACTAAAAAAAATTTAGCCGGAATAGTAAAACATCTAGCAACATTGGGTGATCGCCGCCATTACGCAGGGTTCGACTCGTCCGACCGGTCGGCGTGTAGCGTAGCCGCCGTAGCGTTTTGAGCTATGGCTTGTGCGGGTGTTTTACCGATCACCTGTTGGTCTAATGATCTATCGGTACTGCCACATATAAGTGACAGAGAGGTGGAGCAGCTCTACAGGAGCCGGTCAGGCACAAACCGGTGCATAAAAAGAAGCTGCAGCTTCTTCGTCGAAGCATACGCGGTCCCCGCATCGACCAGGGCTAACTGCTCACGGAACAGGCAAGTTCTTTCTTGTTTTGTGGTGATTTTTTAGTAACATTTTATAATTTTAATACATTTAATCATAGTGATCGAGCTTTTAGCGTGGCCACTCCGAACGACCCGGTACGCTGCCCCCGTCGTGAGCTTGTCGTTCGGTGACAGCCGAGAACTCGCTCGTTTCGTTTTTCGTACCCCTCCAATAAACTTACGACCGCGTACCAGTAACTGCAAAATGTGCCTCACGAGTCACAACCTTGAGTGTTCAAGAAATCGCAATCGCAAATCGTACAGAACAGCAGAAAAAGTTGTACGGGTAGGTGGCAGGCAGCATTTTAAATTCCTTCCTCGGTAACCTTTTAAAGACTAAGAAGTTAAGTGGTTTATGGCATTGCTCACAAAGCTACAGAGTAGTCTTTTCAGAACCACTGATGTATTGGGTTTATTTCACGGCGTTTGTAAACATACCACGTTTGTTTGAACCCACTCAAAATGCGACATTGCAAAAAAAAAAAAAAAGTTTGCTGGAATTGATCTTTACTTGCACAGAAAATATGCACAGCTGTTTGAGTGTAAAACCGGTGTATACATTTTTTTATCCCATTCAGTGCAGAAAGTTTCTTCATCAAGTGTTCCTGCTACCAAAGCAAGAGGAAGACCCAAGAACAACGTACAATGTGTTCAAGAATAAAAACCGTTGAACAGAATAACAATAGTTGAACATGCTCTACACACCAACTCTTTGGCTGCATTCTCAAAAATTTCCAAACAGATTGGTAGCGTAACGTCCTTAAACGTCTAACGGTACGGTCTTGGCATTCTGTTCAGGCCACCACTCCAAAGGTTCTCACGATTGCAAGGCGGGTTCAAGCGATCTTCAGATTCGGTGTACACTGCATTTAGTCTGTACACCCCCTCCACCCGACGTCTGTTTTCTGGAAAACTCTTTACCGGCGTGAGTAAAGGATATGAACTTGCGGAAGAAGTAATCATGCATCTACACGCCGAAAAAGTACCTAAAATGGCCTTGGTTGCAGTGAAGAAGCACTGAAGGACGGAGCCGCTCGCGCATGCGAGCCGCGCACTGAACCGCGGCCTAGTTAAAGACTGGGCTCGACACACGGCCACACTACAACATATAATTGTTTGCGATGCTTCCGCTTACGGATGGTAAAAGCGTTTTCTTGTCTAACCCGCGAAAGTTTTGTAAACAACACGAGGATTCGGTCTTTTTGAACACTTTAGAACTTGTCTGACACGTACCTTTTTTCCGACTCCGTCAACGTATCCATCCTGCGTAGACGAAGGTACGCAGCAATGCGATGGCATATTGATGCGGCGCGCGCAGACTGGGACTCAAAGTGTAAGCAGCACCGTTGTAGGCGGTTTTGGGAGACCCCTGCGTGATGGCGGCGGACCTAGTTGCAGTTGCGTGCAACAGGTGGCGCTCTACTCCGAAAGGGGTCTATAGGGTGCACATGTCCGTCTGCCTCAGGGTGAAGACATCCATTGTTGCTGTTGTGACCGTAGGCGCTCGAGTGCGACCACATGGTCGCCAGGCAGAAGGAACACAACCACCCCGTGTGCCCCGTGTGACAGCTCGCCCAAAAAGTGCCTTTAATCTTATGGTGAATTCCACTCGCAGATCTCGAGCGCTCCAAAACCGCTCCATTTGGAGCGCGCATATTCCGCTCGCAGATCTGGCTCAAGTTGGTCATCTTCCGCTCGTAGATCTCTGGCAGCGCCCGCTCCACGGAGCGCCCCAAACTCCGCCGAACTTGCTCTGCGGGATTTCACGGATCTCTCCGGAAACTGACAGAGCGGCCCACGTGACTTCCGTCTGAATCGGCGGTGCGCATGCGCGGCGAGGTTGGAGAGATCGGCGGGCCGGTCGGTCGTGGAGTTGGATCTGTTCGGGTGCGTCGGTGTTTACTCTGGATTGTGACGGCTCGAACGCTTCTACCTCGCGTAGATCAGGGATAAAAAGCCGGGAATGTGGAGCGTGGCAACTCGTAAGCGCTGACGTCCGTGATCGTGAGAGGAAGAACGACAGAAAAGCCGGAGGCAGACGCAAGGTTAGGCCTATTCATTCCGCAGCCAGTGATTGTTTACCTTTTTACACTGCATTCCGTCGGCTTTTTCCCGTGAAATGAAGCAAGAAGTGGTTAGGCAACGACCGCGCAAGTGATGGTTTGTTACCTCTGTGTTTATTAAAGTCGTACTACAAATCTGAACTCCACGCTGGCAATCGCTGTCCGTGCCCCGCCGCTTCGAGGCGGCCGAAAGGTATGTGACGGTGCCGAAGGCGGACGTCTTCGTTATTTGTGACATGGGCGCCGCGGTATGTATAATTTCGCCCAGCCTGTGTCGCGTGTTACTTCTGCAGCTAAGCAGTGACAGTCGTCACTGGTCGTTGGAAAGATCAGCCGGCTGCGTTGGTGGGCAGGTCAAGTTCAAGCAGCGGCCATTTTGTACGGCGGAGGGAGAAGGGGTGGGGAGGGGGTTTGGGGGAGGTCGCTCCAAAAATGCAAGTTTATCTTCCCCTCGTCGATTCGGAGCGGGTCCCACGGAGCGGAATTTTGCCTCCCTCGCGGATTTTGGAAAGCGCTCCAGATCTACGAGTGGAATTCACCATTAAATCAACAACCGGAATAAGCTCCGTTTCCGGTAGTCCCGCAGCACAACACGTATGGTGCCATCTATTGCCAAGTGTCCTCACTACATCTCCCCTTCCAGCTCGAGGGAACTTTACCTCGTGCTTTCACGAGTTCAGTCTTTGAAAAGGCTTGACTTGCCACCCCAAACGTGTGACGCGTATACCCGGTGGGAGACCCTGCCGTGTAGAACTGGGCACCACCGCTGAGTCGCCTGTTGGTCTTTCGGCAACAGGAACTGGCCCGTCTGAAGTTGCAGGCTGGGTGCAAACAAAGTCGCTTGGCTGGCTGGGAGTACTGGGCCTAAATGGCACCAAGTGGCGACGGTTGCACTGGACAACACCCCTTGACGTCTTGACCACGTAGGAGCGCGGCCGCTTGGCCGAACTAAACAGCCTAGCAACACATGGTATATCTTGTACCTGTTGTGTCCCGAAGTGGACACACGGAACGACGAGGAAGAAGCGAGCTCGAGCGACTGACGCGAGCCAGCGAGCCAGCCGAACGCTGCCGTCTGCCGATACCGGAATCACCTTGATTGTAAATAGTTGTTCTATATGTACTAAAGGTTTATTCGTAACGGCTGCGAGTACTCCATGGTCTTAGAAACACAACAAAGTGGCGACGAGGAATCAACCTAGACCTGATCTACCAGGGCAAGAATCGACCGAACCAGGTACTGTGCATCATGGACGACCTATCGCGTTCGATTGGACCTTATGAGGAAGGAACAAGCTGGGACGAGTACGAGGAACGCCTTCAAGAGTATTTCGAGTTGCAAAAAGAAAACATCAAGACCAATCGGATGAAAGTTTCTGTTTTGATCACTGCCATCGGACAGAAAACTTACTCCAGACTTCGGGATCTTTCGTCTCCTGAGCAACCGAGCAAGAGGACTTATGAAGAGCTCGTACAACTCCTAAGTCGATTCTACTCGCCTAAGCGGTTAGTGATAGCCGAGCGCTTCAAATTTGGAAAGCGGGATCAAAGATCAGGTGAACCTTCAACCACGTATTTGGCAGAACTAAGACGGCTGGCGGAGACCTGTCAATTTGGAGACAAACTCGAGGAGCAACTGCGCGACCGATTTGTTTGTGGTCTCAATCACACGATGGCCCAGAAGCAGTGCCTGACAATTGAAAATCTGACTCTGACACGAGCTGTGGAATTAGTAGCGGGATTGGAAGCGGCTGAGGATCAAATGAAAATTCTCAAGGATGCGCGCGCCACCGCTGAAGACGAGGTGAAACAACTAGCAAGTACAAGCGCTGCCTGCTGGCGTTGTCTCAAAACCAACCACACTCCTCAAGATTGCCGCTACAAGGGCTACGACTGTGACGCATGTGGACAAAAGGGTCACCTGCGGAAAGCCTGCAAAAACAGCAGCGTGCAACAAAGAGGGAAAACGTCAAATCAGCGTGGAAAAGGCAAACGCAAGGGACCAGCCAAGAAA